ATTAATAGTAAGTATTAGAAATAAAAACATAAAGAAATAATCATATGCGATTTTACTTTTCTGTCTAAAGACCAAAATATTTTATATCAAACATAACTATTTTTTTACAAATTAACGGTAATAAAACATTTTCTTGAAAATGTTATTATAATTATTTTAATAATTACATTAGAAAAACATAGTTATATTCATTTTGATATAAGGATTCAAATTTGTGTTATAAATCAACAAAGTGGTGTCGAATAACGCGTAATTTAAACTTGCACGCACCTGCGTTTATGTACTTACAAATTATCACTTCTCAATATTATAGTGAGTTATTTTAGTTCTTACTGATCAATTAATTTCTGTTTTTTCTAAATGTATATATTTTTGTATATTATAACAATTACTGATATTTAGAAAATGATTATATAGAACAGATTTGAAAAATTATTATTTCAATTATTTTACATTAATATTTTTATATAAAAATAGTTTAAGATAATTTAATATTATACAAAAAAATGAAAATTATTTATATGTTTAATTAAAATATTAATTAATTCGTTAATTAGTAGTTTAATGTTAAGTAAATCAATTTATCTTTTAAAATGTTCCTAAAATTTGTAAATACAAATTATGAGAGATTATGTAATTTTAATAAATGAAAAATATGTTACGCAAATTTAATATTTAAAAAAATTAAGATAAATTTTTGCTAAAAATGTGATAATTTACTAATTTTTTTATTTATTATATTATTTTTTATTTATTATATTATTATTATTACAGTTACTATAAGCAATGTAAAATTATTGGAAAAAACAGTTATAAAACATTTATAAAATAATTTTAATTTTTATGAACAAATTAAATTATATTTCTTAATTTATTTTTCTAATTTATATTTATCATTAAACATAAATGATATAATACACAAACTACAAAGTGATATTAATAATTAAATAATGACTCAATTTTTTATTAAATAATTTATGTACATCATATCTGATATGTTACTATTACATCATAAAAGACATTAAGATTGACAACAATATTAATAATTCAAATAATAATATCAACAATATTAATATCATCTGTAAATATCAGCAAATTGCTTTAATATATAAAATGTAATATCATACATATAGCAAATAAATGAGAAGAGATATTGTATACAAAAAAGAAATGATTATAATTTCAACATTTTCACGTAAAAGATTTTCGATTAAATTTTTAAAATTTGAGTATAATTAGAGTATTGTGGTGAAGTATATTTTATCATATACAATAAAAAGATCTAAAAATTTATAATTTGTATAAAAATCATATAATTAAATTATATTTATATATAATTAAATTATATACATATAATTAAATTAAATTAATATACATGATTATTGTTAGTGGATTAAAAAATTAATATCATTGAAGAAAGAGATATGTGCGCACGCATTTTTTTTAATTTTAAATTTTGAGATTAATAAAATTGTGCAATTTATAATTTTCATAAATATTTTGTGTTATTTTAATAAATCAAGAAAATATATAAGTAAATTGCTATGAAAACGTAGTAATTTATGTGTTTTTATTTATTATAACACAATTATATTTTAATATTATAATTACACAATTTTATTTTACTTAAAATAAAAACTTGGGCAAAACATTAAAAAGTTCATTCTTTCAACATAATAAAATAAATATAAATTTTTTAAAATTCAGATTCAATAGTTTCTAATAAAGTCTACAAACGGTAAAGAGTTTATATATATAATCAATAAAATATTTGTTTTGTTATCAATTATTTTGTGAACAATCATAAAACTTTCGATTAAATGATTAATTGTTATTGTTATCAAAAGATTGCTATGATAAATCGAAATACTACACGCAAATGATTGTATAATAATGTAAAAAATAAGAAATCTTGTATCTTTGAAAAGCATTGCATATTACTTCGACATTTTTGCATCAAGCGACTTATTCTTATTCTCTTCAATTATCAGAATAAGAATAATAAAAATATTGCATGCTTTTATCACACTTATATATTTAGTGGTAATATAATAATAATAGTATATATATAAAAATGCATGGATTGAACACGTACGTGTACCTTGATTTTGCATATTGTATATATTGATGTATTGATTAATATACACATTATGTATATGTATATGTATATGTATATGAACATGTGTTTATATTCAGATTTTGACATTTTTTATATATAAATTTGTTTATATAATTATTAATTTCTAACATTAATTTCACTTGTTTATGTATTTACATTTGTATCGCTATTTGTATTTATATTGACGAATGTTTTCTATACATATAATAAACTCTCGCTCTATATACAATATATGTGTATAATTTTATATAAAAAGATATATATATATTAAAGAAACATGACACAATGATTCTTGTTTTTGCTTCTAAAACTCAATATAAAATAATATTGCAAAAATAATTATTGATTAGTCATAAAAGTAATTACATTAATTAAATGTGATCAGAATTTATCAATTCTAAGAATGTCGCGTGAATTTTAGAACTTATTTTTGTGAAGTAGACATTTTTAATATTTATCTCGTAATAATTACAACATTTATGTTCTATAAAAATTACAGAAGTTTTAAATAACACTGCGATTAAATATTATCTATAATTTATATATAATCACGGATGTTCTTGAACCCTTATAGAAATTTAGCACTAGTAACGTTAATTTATCACTTATTTCGAGTCTTAATCACTTATTTCGAGTACTTAAATTACTGCAATGTATATCATTATTTTAAGTACTCAAAATAAGTGATTAATTGGCGTTACTAGTAATAAATTTCTACAAGGGAAGTTATCTATATTATAAATCTTATATTAATTTGTGACAAACTTTATTTTAACATTATTTAGCATATATAATAGCAATATCCATATATATTTATTTATATAAGTAGTACTTTTTTGTTAATTTATAAATTTAAATTTATATATATCATATTATGCTTTTGTTTTTTTATATTACAAAATTTTTTAATGCGTAAAATTGTATCTCTTTCTAAAAAAAGCATGTTAACTGTGTGAATTTAATTTGTATCGATGTTTTGAAACCTTCCTTCCGCAACGCTGATTGGTTGTCTCGAAGTTTGATTTTCTTTAAATTTTATTTTTGAAAATATTTAAACATTAAAATTACGAGTGCAATTATACTGAATTTAGAACTGATTAAAGTAGCGAGTCTAATCTCATCTTAAGTTTACTCCTGTCAATTACTAATTAAGAATACAGTTGAACATTGTAACATAATATTTCGTACAATGTGCATAGGCTTTTAGTCGCACTTGGAGTTGTATTATAATATGTCCTCGTGTATTAATCTATTTGTATGCCGTCCTTGTATCAACCGTAAAATTTCAATGAAACGCTTGAGCAATATTAAGTTTATAGGATTACGTTGCAATTATAATAATATTAAAAATGTGCAAACTCACACACACAGCCGAAAATGTAAAATGCGAAAACGTTGGCCTTTATTTTATTTTACAACATAGATTCTTTTATGTAAAAAAAATAGAAAGAGAGAAAAAAATTGTAATTCTTTCTCGAAACGCTGTTCATAACACTCATACACTCATTCACTCTTTTTACGAACACTTTCGCAAATAATAGTAACATTTACATGATCACTTCGTCTTCTCGATGAAGCGATCTCTCAATTCGTGTAAAATCGCGATTAAGCGACCAAGCTAAGTTATACCTATAATAAACATGCAGGGCGCGTTTTTTGTAGAAGCTATAAATATATATATACATATACATAGACAATAATTATACCCACTGTTGAAGGATACATATGATGACAACGCGTTCATTTGGAGATAAAAAAAATTATATATAATTCCGGAAGCAAGATACTTTCCTCCGCGATTAACGGAGCAAATAGAAATAGGTTTCTGCGAGTGTGAATCTCTCTCACCCTGTAGATGTGGAATTATAATATTAATAGAACTCTCGTGTATAAACGACAACACTCATTGCGTGTGTGCAATCCTCAAAAAAATAAAAAGAAATGTATTCATGAGAGAGAAATCCGACGTTCAATCATAATCTCTTTAACGGACGATTCCTTTCATCGTTTCTCGTCGACAAGAGAGTGATAGTAAAGGCTATTTTTGCATATAACACGTGATAAAGAGGCTGCCGAAATGTTTTTTATTTGCATCACATATATGTACATGTATTAGGGCGATCATTTCTTTTTAATATGAATTTTTGACTTTCTTCTTTAATTAACACATATATAATATGCTTGGTTATATCCGGAGAACGAAATTGTTCTTTGAGTTTCTCTTTCAGTACAATTTTTCCAATTATACCAATTGTAAATTATTTCAAGTCTTTATGTAAAAAAGAAATTCTACTCGAATCTCGAAAATAATATTTTTATATATAGGATGCAAAAAATTGCTCAAGCTTAAGTTAATCATGTTAAATGCGATTTTGTTTAAAAAATGCGTGTTATAACTTTTTTAGTTACGTTAGATGAAGTGAACAAATGCGAACATTTTTTAGAGTGTGTATGCATTTCGATTGTTAATTATTTTTGTGATTGTGCGTATGTATATACATTTGCGCACGAAGAGACAGGCGTGAATAGCGAGAAATGATCATTTACAATTGTTACGTCATCTCATCGTCTTCATGAAGGAAATGGAACATTGCAATTTGTATATGCAATTGTATATTCGAGCGCGTGCAAAAATATTGTTAACTTGTCCGAAACATTTTGCGTACAATCATCAGTTGTCAAATCTTGTATAAGAGATCTGCAATATTAAATGGGAACATTAAACGCGAGAAATGCAATGGAGCAGCAAAAAAGTCCTCGTTCTTGTCACGATTAACAAACCTGCTTTTTGTTTGAAAAAGAAAATGGACATTAATTTGAGATAAGCATACACAGTTTTAGCGGTAATTTATATGTGATTGTATTTTAATTATTCACATTTAAAGTTCTTATTAAAATTTCTCATTAAATTTTTTAGTTGATTATTATTAAATCTTGAATTAGATATCTTTTGCCGAAAATCGGAATTAATTTTACTCGCGGAAAATTTTGCGAAAGAATAATAATGACATAACATTATTCAACATCGTATATTATTATTTTAAATTATTATTTTATGTGTTGTATATTTATCTTATTGCAAGATGTAATAATTCTTAACTGTTATGTTACTAATTCTAATTATTGTCTAGTTTATTAATGTTGTTTATTTTTGCGAATGGCTTTTAATTCCTTATTTAAAATTTTATATTTTATATTTTTATATATATATATATATATATATATATATAAAATTTATTCATATTAAACATTTTTTGTTCTATTATTTTTATCTGCAATAAAATATGTATGTTTTGCATCCCGACATTTTATGAATTTTTCTCAAATAAGTTTTAAACATTAAAAAAGTTTAAGAATTTATACATATATTTTAAATTTTATTCATCCTCTCATTAATTGTCCTTAAAAGTCATCGACACTTATTTAAAAATAACTTGTTCATATTTTTTAAAAGCCATACGCGTGTTCGTTATTATCTTTTATCATCGCTGTATGTGTAACAAAAAAAAAGACATCATTTGATTTACAATCTGGTAAAATAAACTTATCAAATTATAATATAATAAAATTATTAGTACTTCACAAATACATTGCTTCATGAAGCAAACTTTTCTTTGGTGCCTTTTTCTTGAAATTTGTTTGTTATAAATGTTGGTACAATAAAAAGATTAGTAATAGTATAATTAAAGATTTACTGTGATTTTTAATATCGTTAAATTTAAAAACAAGAATATAATATACCAAAGCCAATTATATTAGTGCAAAAATAATAAATAAAGTATCTTAATTTTGGTAATAATTAAATTATTATCTTTTGTATCCATTCCATCAAGTTTTTTAGCACAACTTAGATTAAGTAAAATAAAGAGCAGTACAAAAATTTTAAAAATAAAAGTATCGAAAATAATGTAAATAAATACATAGAATATATAATGACCCATGAAAGTTACAGGTAGATAAATAATTTCGTGCGAATAAGTCAGTAAGAATCAGGCAGATCAACATTTTATAGATAACTATTGTCGTGCTATCATCGCTGTAACGAACCAAGAGACAACCATTTACAATCTGGTAAAATAAACTTATCAAATTATAATATACCTAATCAAATTATAAGTAATTTACAAGTACATTGTTTAATGAGACAAACTTTTCGTCAGTGTTTTTTTTTGCAATTTATAATGTTTGTTAATTTTTAGTACGATAAAATGATTAGTAATATAATTACAAATTTATGGTGATTTTTAATATCATTAAATTTATGCCCAAAGGCAAGCTAACATCGACATTATCGTCTCATTTACATAATAATTATTAGATATTATTAATGTTTACGATATTTTTATACAATTTTATGCTACATATTCTTTTTATTTTATTTTAATTAATTGTCGAACACATATATATCAAGATCGAAAAAGACACAAGATACCATTATCATATCAATTTGTTATTTAAATTATAATGTTTCTAAAAGTACTAGACATTTAATCGTACTTCTTAATTGTTATAATTTATAACAAGAGTTTCGAGAAAAAAATAACGGCCATATGTCAAAAATAAATAAGAATAATTATCAAAAGTTATGATGTCAATTTTGTTTAGATATTGTAACTGCTAACATCGATATAACAATAAGTAATATACAATAAATATCTTGTCCTTCACATTTTTTACTGACATTAATAAGAAGGACATAAATTATATTGATTCTCTAATTGTCATAAATAACAATATTTCTCAGAATTTTAATAATTATATTATCTGTATTTTAATAGAAAATTTATATATTATGAAAATGACAATAATACACAAAATTAATTACTTACTATTCAATAAAACTTACGAAAAGATTTCATCTCATCGATATATCTGCTTTGATTTTCACATACATATATTATAAAAACATGTTCGTAAATTTTACTACATTAAAAATTGCATATTGTTCCTTTTTCCTGGCTGTTCTTGATCTATATTTCTGCTCTTGTATATTTCCGTTTTTGTATATTTTATTATTTTTATTGTTATTTCTATGCTAAGCATACATTTGTTAAAATCTGAGCTATCAGACAAGTACATATATAAATATAAAATATACATTAATATAAATGAAATTTTTTGCTTTTTGTTGCAGACGCTTAATATTTATAGCATAAAAATATTTATAACAAAAACCGAATAGAAAAGATTGGATAAAATAAGTCACAATCTCGAATATTACTTAAGTTTAAGGAGAAAAATTTTAAACACCCGCGTCCACGATGCATATATTTAGTTTAATGCGAATCTTAAAACGAATTTTATGTTATTGGTTACCAATTTTTGTAGTTCTTCTTGTTGTTTTTATCTCAAGCATATCAGGTAAAATAAATCAAAATAATTTTGCTATAATACATATACATATATACACATAATATTAATTTTACTAATATCAATGTATTTAATTTGGATCAATACATTTAAATTAAATATAAAATTTGGAAGTTTTTGTATGCTTCCTCTTCCAATTCTATCGATAAGTAAACATTAAAAAAAGAATTATATTATATTATGTTAAAATTAAAAAAATATGTACAATAATATTATATACATACATATACATATGTATTTTATATATATATATATATATATATATATATATATATATATATGTACCATATGTATTATTTGAATTTATAGAATATATAATACATACCTAATATTACACACAATACAAATCTTTTACTAATTATATGTCAATATATAGTTGTATATAGTCTTATTACAATGCAACAAATTAGTAATATTTTATCTATATATGTATTAGATTGTTAATAATTATGTTTTACAATTAGTCTTATTAGGAGCAAGTAATGAGACGAATACGATATTCAATATAGAAAATGACAGTCAGACTTCTAATAAGTCATATAATGATATAAATAATATAGATAATATAGATAATAAAGATACAAGTGAAGAAGATGAATCATACGCTTTTGATAACAAGATGCCAGTTACTGCGATAATTCTAATGTCTGCATTGTTCATAATATTATGCAGCATAGTAACTTGGCCATGTGAGATTCACCGTCGGTAAATTGATTTCTTTGAACTTTTCAATTACTTATAATACACACACACACACACACACACGCACACGCTCACACATACGCACATATGTATATTTACATATATATATATATATATATATATATATATATATATATAGGACAAATATTATACATTTATACGTTTGTTCCATTGTGATTTTTTACTAATAATAAGTAAAAGTTTTAGAATAATGGATATTCCGCAAAGAGTAATGAATGCCCTGCATAGAGTAAGGAATGTCCAGCCACTTCCCGTGCAGTATGCAAACGGAAGAGCTATTATACCTGCAGATGATGTGCCACCGCAACAAGTAAGTAAAATACAAACAGTAAAGTATACACAGTGTCTGTTTCAACTTGGTGCAGTTGCATTTGTTCTGAAATGAAATATGTTAAAAACAAGCATAACATAAGGATACAATCGTCTTATATCTAAACACACAAAATGTTTCAGAATAGAGTAATGAATGCCCAGCCACTTCCCGTGCAGTATGCAAACGGAAGAGCTATTATACCTGCAGATGATGTGCCACCGCAACAAGTAAGTAAAATACAAACAGTAAAGTATACACAGTGTCTGTTTCAACTTGGTGCAGTTGCATTTGTTCTGAAATAAAATATGTTAAAAACAAGCATAACATGAGGATACAATCGTCTTATATTTAAACACACAAAATGTTTCAGAATTAAATGTGCAAACGAAAAAAACATATTTCAAATATCGTAAAAATAAAAAATATTAAATAAACGTAAATTCAAAAACAAACGTTTTGTTATAAACTAAACGTGTTGTGAATACGTTCGTTTTTGAACATATAATGACTGTTTTCATTTTTATAATGAGTTATACAATACAATATACATTTTTAAACTTATTTATTATTAATGTTAGCTTATTAATTGTACACAAGAATACAAGTTATATGTAAATAATATCTCAAATTTTACAGCCTCCAGAGAACTAATTACATATACGTATGTTAACATTGATGTTTTGCTGTTAATTGTAAGATTTACTTATATATAACATTGATAAAATTTCGTAAGTATATTATTAAGCCCGAATCTCGATTTGTTCTGATGCATACGCGGTTATACAAGTAATTTTTAAGTTAGAGTTAGAAAATATTTTAATAATTGTATAATGAAAAATTTCGATCAGAAAACCATACAGGTAATTTATTTACATTTAATTCTTAAAAACTTGAAAGCCGTATTAACAATTATAAATTTAATAATTAAACATATACACACACACATATACTTATAAAAAATTTGTAAATAATTTAAATTAGCATGTAAGTGTAAATAGGGAAAATCAATTTCCATAAATAATATACTGACATCTCTATATAAAAAATATTTTATATATATTAATCTTTAGCAATAAAATTATTTTATTATTTTACTCTACTAAATTTGATCAAAGGTTTTAACAATAGTAACATAGTAATAGAAATGGGTAAAAGAAACCAGGGCTGTAATACAAATGCGGAAAGATTGATTAATTAACAAATTTATGTTAAACAAATAAAATATATATAAATATACAATTTGGTTATTTCGGCGTGAGATATAAGAAGAATTTTAATCCTCTTGACCACTGATTTTGAATTTTTAAATAATTTTGTTTTTCTTGAAAATTATTGTTTTATATTTTAACTGATTAATTGTAATTATTTTAATTATTTTATTTCACACTGAAAAAAACCTGAAGAACTAAATTGTCCGTTCATATATATTTTATTTGTTTGAAATAAATTTTTAACCAATAAATCTTTTTATGCTTCTAATTACATGCTGCCTTTTTTCTTTCTATTTTATTGCCAATATTATTTTATTTTATTAAAAATTTAAAATTACATGATAATCATTAATAGTAAGTATTAGAAATCAAAACATAAAGAGATGATCATATGCGATTTTACTTTTCTGTCTAAAGACGAAAATATTTTATATCAAACTTAACTATTTTTTTTACAAATTAACGGTAATAAAACATTTTCTTGAAAATGTTATTATAATTATTTTAATAATTACATTAGAAAAACATAGTTATATTCATTTTGATATAAGGATTCAAATTTGTGTTATAAATCAACAAAGTGGTGTCGAATAACGCGTAATTTAAACTTGCACGCACCTGCGTTTATGTACTTACAAATTATAACTTTTGTTATCACTTCTCAATATTATAGTGAGTTATTTTAGTTCTTACTGATCAATTAATTTCAGTTTTTTCTAAATGTATATATTTTTGTATATTATAGCAATTACTGATATTTAGAAAAGGATTATATCGAACAGATTTGAAAAATTATTATTTCAATTATTTTACATTAATATTTTTATATAAAAATAGTATAAGATAATTTAATATTATACAAAAAAATGAAAATTATCTATATGTTGAATTAAAATATTAATTAATTCGTTAATTAGTAGTTTAAAGTTAAGTAAATTAATTTATCTTTCAATATGTTTTCTAAAATTTGTAAATACAAATTTGGAGAGATTATGTAATTTTAATAAATGAAAAATATGTTACGCAAATTTAATATTTAAAAAAATTAAGATAAATTTTTGCTAAAAATGTGATAATTTACTAATTTTTTTATTTATTATATTATTTTTCAATATTATTATTACAGTTACTCTAGTCAATATTAAAACATTGGAAAAAACATTTATAAAACATTTATAAAATAATTTTCATTTTTATGAACGAATTAAATTATATTTCTTAATTTATTTTTCTAATTTATATTTATCATTAAACATAAATGATATAATACATAAACTACAAAGTGGTATTAATAATTAAAAAATGACTCAATTTTTTATTAAATAATTTATGTACATAATATCTGATATATTACTTTTACACTATAAAAGACATTAAAATTGACAACAATATTAATAATTCAAATAATAATATTAACAATATTAACATCATCCGTAAATATCAGCAAATTGCTTTAATATATAAAATGTAATATCATACATATAGCAAATAACTGAGAAGAGATATTGTATACAAAAAAATGATTATAATTGCAACATTTTCACGTAAAAGATTTTTGATTAAAGTTTTAAAATTTGAGTATAATTAGAGTATTGTGTTGAAGTATATTTTATCATATACAATCGAAAGACCTAAAAATTTTCTATTTGTAAAAAAATCATATAATTAAATTATATTTATATATAATTAAATTATATACATATAATTAAATTAAATTAATATACATGATTATTGTTAGTGAATTAAAAAATTAATATCATTGAAGAAAGAGATATGTGCGCACGCATATTTTTAAATTTTAATCTTTGGGATTAATAAAATTGTGCAATTTTTATATTTCACAAATATTTTGTGTTATTTTAATAAATCAAGAAAATATATAAGTAAATTGCTATGAAAACGTAGTAATTTATGTGTTTTTATTTATTATAACACAATTATATTATATTATTATAATTACACAATTTTATTTTACTTGAAATGAAAACTTTGGGGAAGACATTAAAATGTTCATTTTTTCAACATAATAAAAGAAATATAAATTCTTTAAAATACAGATTCCATAGTTTCTAATAAAGTCTACAAACGATAAAGAGTTTATATATATTATCAATAAAATATTTGTCTTGTTATTAATTATTTTGTGAACAATCATGAAACTTTCAATTAAATGATTAACTGTTATTGTTATCAAGAGATTGCTATGATAAATCGAAATACTACACGTAAATGATTGTATAATAATGTAAAAAATAAGAAATCTTGTATCTTTGAATAGCATTGCATATTACTTCGACATTTTTGCATCAAGCGACTTATTCTTATTCTCTTCAATTATTAGAATAAGAATAATAAAAATATTGCATGCTTTTATCACACTTATATATTTAGTGGTAATATAATAATAATAGTATATATATAAAAATGCATGGTTTGTACAAGTACGTGTACCTTGATTTTGCATATTGTATATATTGATGTATTGATTAATATACACATTATGTATATGTATATATGAACATGTGTGTATATTCAAATTATGACATTTTTTATATATAACATGTTTTTATAATTATTAATTTCTAACATTAATTTCACTTGCTTATGTTTTTACATTTGTATCGCTATTTGTATTTATATTGACGAATGTTTTTTATACATATAATAAACTCTCGCTCTATATATATGTGTATAATTTAATATAAAAATATATATATATATTAAAGGAACATGACACAATGATTCTTGTTTTTTTCTTTAAAACTCAATATAAAATAATATTGCAAAAATAATTATTGATTAGTCATATAAGTAATTACATTAATTAAATGTGATTAAAATTTATCAATCTTAAGATTGTCGCGTGAATTTTAAAACTTATTTTTTGCGAAGTAAACTTTTTTAATATTCATCTCGTAATAGTTACAACATTTACGTACTATAAAAATTAAAGAAGTTTTAAATAGCACTGCGATTTAACATTGTTATTATCTTTTATCATCGCTGTATGTGTAACAAAATAAGAGACATTATTTAATTTACAATTTGATAAAATAAATTTATCAAATTATAATATAATAAAATTATTAGTCCTTCGCAAATACATTGCTTCATGAGGCAAACTTTTGTTTGGTGCCTTTTTCTTGAAATTTGTTTGTTATAAATTTTACAATAAATAGATTAGTAATAGTATAATTAAAAATTTACTGTAATGTATAATATTGTTAAATTTAAAATCTAAGAAGATAATGTATCAAAATCAATTGTATTAGTACAAAAATAATGGAAAATAAGTATTTTACTTTTTGTGTAATTAATAAATTATTAACTTTTGTATCTATTCCATCAAATTTTTTAGCAAAATTTAGAGTTAAAATAAACAGAATTACCAATATTTAAAAAATAAAAGTATCGAAAAGAATGTAAATAAATATATACGGTATATAATGACCCATGAAAGTCACAGGTAGATAAATAATTTCGTGCGAATAGGTCAGTAAGAATCAGGCAGATCAACATTTTATAAATAACTATTGTCGTGCTATCATCGCTGTACGTGTAACAAACCAAGAGACAACTATTACGATCTGGTAAAATAAACTTATCACAAATTATAATATACCTAATCAAATTATAAGTAATTTACAAGTACATTGTTTCATGAGACAAACTTTTCGTCAGTGTTTTTTTTTTTGCAATTTATAATGTTTGTTAATTTTTAGTACAATAAAATGATTAGTAATATAATTACAAATTTATGGTGATTTTTAATATCATTAAATTTATGCCCAAAGGCAAGCTAACATCAACATTATCGTCTCATTTACATAATAATTATTAGATATTATTAGAGTTCATGATATTTTTATACAATTTTATACTACATATTCTTTTTATTTTATTTTAATTAGTTGTCGAACACATATATATCAAGATCAAGAAAGACACAAGATACCATTATCATATTAATTTGTCATATAAAATTATAATGTTTCTAAAAGTACTAGACATTTAATCGTACTTCTTAATTGTTATAATTTATAGCAAGAGTTTCAAGAGAAAAATTACGGCCATATGTCGAAAATAAATAAGAATAATAATCAAGAAGTTATGATATCAACTTTGTTTAGATATTGTAGTTGCTAACATCGATATAACAATAAGTAATATAAATATTTTGTCCTTCACATTTTTTACTGACATTTATAAGGAGGACATAAATTATAATGATTCTTTAATTGTCATAAATATATATATTTCTCTGAATTTTAATAATTATTTTATCTGTATTTTAATCGAAAATTTATTATGAAAATGACAATAATACACAATATTAATTACTTAATATTCAATAAAACTTACGAAAAGATTTCGTCTCATCGATATAACTATTTTGATTTTCACATACATATATTATAAAAACATGTTCGCAAATTTTATTACATTAAAAATTGCATATTGTTCTTTTCTCCTGACTGTTCTTGATCTATATTTCTGCTCTTGTATATTTTCGTTCTTGTATATTTTATTATTTTTGTTGTTATTTCTATACTAAGCATACATTTGTTAAAATCTGAGCTATCAGACAAGTACATATATAAATATAAAATATACATTAATATAAATGAAATTTTTTGCTTTTTTTGCAGACGCTTAATATATATAGCATGAAAATATTTATAACAAAAACCGAATAGAAAAGATTGGATAACATAAATCACAATCTCGAATATTACTTAGATTTAAGGAGAAAAATTTCAAACACCCACGTCCACGATGCATATATTTAGGTTAATGCGGATCTTTAAACGAATTTTATGTTATTGGTTATTAATTTTCGTAGTTCTTCTTGTTGTTTTTATCTTAAGCATATCAGGTAAAATAAATCAAAATAATATTGCTATAATACATATACATATATACACATAATATTAATTTTACTAATATTAATGTATTTAATTTGAATCAATACATTTAAATTAAATATAAAATTTGAAAGTTTTTGTATGCTTCCTCTTCCAATTCTATCGATAAGTAAACATTAAAAAAAGAATTATATTATACTATGTTAAAATTAAAAAATTATACATATACAATAATATTATATACATACATATATATATATATATATATATATATATGTACAATATGCATCATTTGAATTTATAGAATATATAATACATACCTAATATATTACACACAATACAAATCTTTTACTAAATATATGTCAATATATAATTGTATATTGTCTTATTACAATGCAACAAATTAGTAATATTTTATCTATTTATGTATTAGATTGTTAATAATTATGTTTCAGTTGTATTAGGAGCAAGTAATGAAACAAATACGATATTCAATTTAGAAAATGACAATCAGATTTCTAATAAGTCAAATGATGATATAGAAGATACAAGTAAAAAAGATGAATCATACGACTCCAATAACAAGGTGCCGGTTGTCGCGATTATTATTATAAGTTTACTGATTGTAATACTTTTAATATTAAGCTGGAAATACATATTATACCCACTTTTCTATGGCCGTCGGTAAATTGATTTCTTTCAACTTTTCAATTACTTATAACATATATATATATATATATATATATATATATATATATATATATATATTTTATATATATATATATATATACCCAGCAAACACCGATATATAATTGTTACATTGCTATAATAAAACAAAATATAACAGGTAATATAACGTGAACGTTACATGTAACATCCATGTTAGTTGTAATTTCCCACTCATAGATGTAACATTTTAATATAACATATATTACATTAAAGTTATATTGTAATTATATACCAAATAGCACATTGATGTAATGATAAGTCAGTGCTATCTTGGGATATAATGACAATATAACTACAATGTAATATATGTAATATTAAAAATGTTACATCTATGAGTGGGAAATTACAACTAACATATACGTTACATGTAACATGCTTGCTATAATAAAACATTGCTATAATAAAACGGAATATAACAGGTAATATAACGTGTACGTTACATGTAACATCCATGTTACTTGCAATTTTCCACTCATAGATGTAACATTTTAATATAACATATATTACATTGAAGTTATATTGTAATTATATACCAAATAGCACATTGATGTAATGATAAGTCAGTGCTATTTAGGGATATAATGACAATATAACTACAATGTAATATATGTAATATTAAAAATGTTACATCGATGAGTGGGAAATTACAACTAACATATACGTTACATGTAACATGCTTAAGTATATAACATTTATATACTGTGTTTGCTGGGTATATATATATATATATATATATATAGGACAAATATTATACATTTATACATTTGTCCCATTGTGATTTTTTACTAATAATAAGTGAAAGTTCTAGAGTAATAGATGTTTCGCCTAGAGTAAGGAATGTCCAGCCACCTGTCGTGCACTTTTTAAACGAAGAAGTTGTTATAGCTGCAAATGATTTGCAAGTGCAACTGGTAAGTAAAATACAAACAGTAAAGTACACACAATGTCTGTTTCAACTTGATGCAGTTGCATTTGTTCTGAAATGAAATATGTTATAAACATAATATAAGCATAACATGAGGATACAATCGTCTTATATCTAAACACACAAAATGTTTCAGAATTAAATGAGCAAACAAAAAAAAACATATTTCAAATATCGTAAAAATAAAAAAAATTAAATAAACAAATTTAAAAACAACCGTTTTGTTATAAACTAAACGTGTTGTGAATACGTTCGTTTTTGAACACATAATGACTGTTTTCACTTTTATAATGAGTTATATATTACAATATACGTTTTTAAACTTATTTATTATTAATGTTAGCTTATTAATTGTACACAAGAATACAAGTTATATGTAAATAATATCTCAAATGTTACAGCCTCCAGTAGAGAACTAATTACATATACGTATGTTAACATTGGTGTTTTGCTGTTAATTGTAAGATTTACTTATATATAATATTGATAAAGTTTCGTAAGTATATTATTAAGCCCGAATCTCAATTTTGTTCTGATGCATACGCGGCTACACAAGTAATTTTTAAGTTAGAGTAAAGCCGTATTAACAATTATAAATTTAATAATTAAACATATATACACACATATACTTATAAAAAATTTGTAAATAATTTAAATTAGAATGTAAGTGTAAATAGGGAAAATCAATTTCCAAAAATAATATATTGACATCTCTATATAAAAAATATTTTATATTAATTTTTATCAATAAAATTATTTTATTATTTTACTCTACTAAATTTGATCAAAGGTTTCGACAATAGTAACATAGTAATAGAAATAGGTAAAAGAAACCAGGGCTGTAATACAAATGCGGAAAGATTGATTAATTAACAAATTTATTTTAAACAAATAAAATATATATAAATAAACAATTTGGTTATTTCGGCATGATATATAAGAAGAATTTTAATCGTTTTGACCACTGACTTTGAATTTTTAAATGATTTTGTACTTCTTGAAAATTATTGTTTTATATTTTAACTGATTAATTGTAATTATTTTAATTATTTTATCTCACACTGAAAAAAACCTGAAGGATCAAATTGACCGTTCATATATATTTTATTTGTTTGAAATAAATTTTCAATCAATAAATCTTTTTATGCTTCTAATTACATGCTGCCTCTTTTCTTTCTATTTTATTGCCAATATTATTTTATTTTATTAAAAATTTAAAATTACATGATAATCATTAATAGTAAGTATTAGAAATCAAAACATAAAGAGATGATCATATGCGATTTTACTTTTCTGTCTAAAGACGAAAATATTTTATATCAAACATAACTATTTTTTTTACAAATTAACGGTAATAAAACATTTTCTTGAAAATGTTATTATAATTATTTTAATAATTACATTAGAAAAACATAGTTATATTCATTTTGATATAAGGATTCAAATTTGTGTTATAAATCAACAAAGTGGTGTCGAATAACGCGTAATTTAAACTTGCACGCACCTGCGTTTATGTACTTACAAATTATAACTTTTGTTATCACTTCTCAATATTATAGTGAGTTATTTTAGTTCTTACTGATCAATTAATTTCAGTTTTTTCTAAATGTATATATTTTTGTATATTATAGCAATTACTGATATTTAGAAAAGGATTATATCGAACAGATTTGAAAAATTATTATTTCAATTATTTTACATTAATATTTTTATATAAAAATAGTTTAAGATAATTTAATATTATACAAAAAAATTAAAATTATCTATATGTTGAATTAAAATATTAATTAATTCGTTAATTAGTAGTTTAAAGTTAAGTAAATTAATTTATCTTGTAAAATGGTTTCTAAAATTTGTAAATACAAATTTGGAGAAATTATGTAATTTTAATAAATGAAAAAGATGTTACGCAAATTTAATATAAAAAAAATTAAGATAAATTTTTGTTAAAAATGTGATAAATTACTAATTTTTTATTTATTATATAATTTTTTAATATTATTATCACAGTTATTCTAGTCAATATTTAATAATTGGAAAAAACATTTATAAAATAATTTTCATTTTTATGAACAAATTAAATTATATTTCTTAATTTATTTTTCTAATTTATATTTATCATTAAACATAAATGATATAATACATAAACTACAAAGTAGTATTAATAATTAAATAATGACTCAATTTTTTATTAAATAATTTGTATACATAATATCTGATATATTACTTTTACACCATAAAAGACATTAAGATTGATAACAATATTAATAATTCAAATAATATCAACAATATAAATATCATCTGTAAATATCAGCAAATTGCTTTAATATATAAAATGTAATATCATACATATAGCAAATAACTGGGAAGAGATATTGTATACAAAAAAAATGATTATAATTGCAACATTTTTACGTAAAAGATTTTCGATTAAAGTTTTAAAATTTGAGTATAATTAGAGTATTGTGTTGAAGTATATCTTATCATATACAATCAAAAGATCTAATTTATAATTTGTAAAAAAATCATATAATTTAATTATATTTATACATAATTAAATTATATACATATAATTAAATTAAATTAATATACATGATTATTGTTAGTGGATTAAAAAATTAATATTATCGAAGAAAGAGATATGTGCAAACGCATTTTTTTAAATTTTAAACTTTGGGATAAATAAAATTGTGCAATTATTAATTTTCACAAATATTTTGTGTTATTTTAATTAATCAAAAAAATATATTAGTAAATTGCTATGAAAACGTAGTAATTTATGTGTTTTTATTTATTATAACACAATTATATTTTAATATTATAATTACACAATTTTATTTTACTTGAAATGAAAACTTTGGGGAAGACATTAAAATGTTCATTTTTTCAACATAATAAAAGAAATATAAATTCTTTAAAATACAGATTCCATAGTTTCTAATAAAGTCTACAAACGATAAAGAGTTTATATATATTATCAATAAAATATTTGTCTTGTTATTAATTATTTTGTGAACAATCATAAAACTTTCAATTAAATGATTAACTGTTATTGTTATCAAGAGATTGCTATGATAAATCGAAATACTACACGTAAATGATTGTATAATAATGTAAAAAATAAGAAATCTTGTATCTTTGAATAGCATTGCATATTACTTCGACATTTTTGCATCAAGCGACTTATTCTTATTCTCTTCAATTATTAGAATAAGAATAATAAAAATATTGCATGCTTTTATCACACTTATATATTTAGTGGTAATATAATAATAATAGTATATATATAAAAATGCATGGTTTGTACAAGTACGTGTACCTTGATTTTGCATATTGTATATATTGATGTATTGATTAATATACACATTATGTATATGTATATATGAACATGTGTGTATATTCAAATTATGACATTTTTTATATATAACATGTTTTTATAATTATTAATTTCTAACATTAATTTCACTTGCTTATGTTTTTACATTTGTATCGCTATTTGTATTTATATTGACGAATGTTTTTTATACATATAATAAACTCTCACTCTATATATATGTGTATAATTTTATATAAAAAGATATATATATATTAAAGAAACATGACACAATGATTCTTGTTTTTGCTTCTAAAACTCAATATAAAATAATATTGCAAAAATAATTATTGATTAGTCATAAAGTAATTACATTAATTAAATGTAATTACATTAATTAAAATTTATCAATTCTAAGAATGTCGCGTGAATTTTAAAACTTATTTTTTGCGAAGTAGACTTTTTTAATATTCATCTCGTAATAGTTACAACATTTACGTAATTACTTTATGTCAATTATGATTATTGTCAGTTTTAGAAAAAAGTTAAACAGTGAATACAAAACCAACAAGAAAGATAATATTTTAACGTCAATTATGTTGGAAATAATGTGTATATGTGTATTACAATTTTTGTAATTAGTAAATTATTTCTATATCCATTCCATCAAAGTTTTTAGCAAAATTTAGATAGATTTAAATTAAACAGCTTAACTTAAATTTAAAATAATATATAAAGAGAAATCATTATGTTTGTGGAATGACTTTGTTACATTTAATAGACACTAATCGATGTACAATTTTTGTGACTTTCTATAAATATATTAATCTGAAATACTGGATTGAATTAGGGTCTAATGAAAATACTCATTAAGGGAGAATCTTTAAATGGTGACAAAATAGAAGATTTCAACATAATGCCAGAATTTCTATCAAAAGGATATATGATAACAATTGAAAATCTAGTGATAAACAGTTTCGTGCGAATAAGCCAATAAGAATTAGGCGAATAGATCAACAGTTTATAAATAACTCGTTTATGTCTTTCAGAAGCCATACGCGTGTTCGTTATTGTCGTGTTATAATTGCTATATACATATATACTATATATGTGTAATAAACCAAGAGACAACAATTTAAATTACGATCTGGTAAAATCAATCTATCAAATTATATATTATAACAAAATTATTAATACTTTACAAGTACATTGTTTCATGAGGCAAACTTTTTTCTTTGGTGTCTTTTTCTTGCAATTTAAATGTTTATTATACATTTTGATAGTATAATTATAAATTTACTGTGATTTTTAATATTGTTTATCTTATGCCTAAAGATAAACTGACATCGACATTTGTTATTATTTATATATTAATTATCACATATTATTTAAAGTACATGATAGTTTGTTACAATTTCGTGCTATATACTCTTTTATTTTATTTTAATTAATTGTCGAATACATATATGAAGATCGAGAAAGAAATTAATTATCTTTACAAGATATCATTATTATGTTAATTTGTCATCTTAATTAAATATGTATTATAATGTTTCTAAGAGTACTAAATATTTAATGTTACTTTTTAATTATTGATTTATATAGGAAGAATTTCAAAAGAAAAATAACGGCCTTATCGAAAATAAATAAGAATTAATTATTAAAAAGTTTGTGTCATAACTTTTTATAGGTATGTATTTACTAATATCGATAATAAGTATTATAATCAGCTTGTCTTTCACACACTTTTACTGACATTTATAAGGAGGACTTAAATTATATTTATTCTCTAATTTTGATAAATACATATTACTTTGATTTTTAACAATTATTTTATTTATACATATTTTTATCGAAAATTTATTATAAAAATAACAATAATACACAGTAGGTATTAATTACCCATTATTAAGTAAAACTTTCGAGAAAATTATATTTTATAGATCACTTTGATTTTCACATACATATATAGTTATATAAACTTGTTTGCAAGTTTTATCAAACTAAATTCTATTGTTCTTAACGTTCTTGATTCAAATATTTCTATTCTTATATATTTTATTATTACATATTTCTATGCTAAGCATAAATATTTCTTTCAAACTTACTCATATCGTTATAAAACTTATCTTTTCAATTTGTTATAATCTGAGTTATCAGACAAGTATATACATATATATAAATATAAAACACATTTTTTGTTCTTTTTTACAGACGCTTAATATACATAGCATCAAAATATTTATAATAAAGGTCGAATAGAAAAGATTGGATAAAATAAACTATCATCTCAGATATAACTTAAGTTTAAGTCGAAAAATATTCAATGCTCGCGTTTACGATGCATTTTATAAATTTAATGCGAATTTTAAAACGAGATTTATATTGGTTACACATATTTCTAGTTATTATTTTTATCTCATGTATATCAGGTAAAATAATAAATTAACATAATATTGTAATAATAAATATGTATATATATATATATATATATATATATATATATATAATTGTATATAGTCTTATTACTATTAGACAAATTAATAATAATATTTTATTAATTTATGTATTAAATTATTAATATAATTATGTTTTAGCCTCATTAGGAGCAACTAATAAGACAAATACTACATTCAATATAGAAAACAATAATCAGAGCAATAAATCAAAAGATAATATGGAAGATTTGAATGTTCTATACAACTTCTATATCAAAATAATATACAAATTAACTGTTGGAATATTTGTAATATTAATCATGTTATGTATATTATTCCTAATAGGTGGCTTCTACTTAATACTTCGGCGTTGGTAAACTGACTTTTTTCAACATTAATATCTTATACTTTTATATTAAATTTATATATTTATACATATACACATATATAATTTGTTCCTTTGTGCATTTTTACTTTTAATAGCCGACGTCGTATATATCGGTTCCCACCAACAACTCCCTCTAACACGAGTTTTGCGGGTGTAAGAGTTGCTATCGGAGAGAATGAAGTGCAACAACAAGTAAGTAAAATACAAACAGTAATTTATGTTCTGAAATAAATTATGCTAAAACTAAGCATATAACATATATATATATATATATATATATATATATGCAATAATTTATTTATAAAAGTGAAAAGTAATATTGTATTATTTAATTCTAAAACATTTTGTGTGTTTATATTTAAGTCGATTGTATACTCATATATATATATATATATATATATATATATATATATATATATATATGAGTATATATATAAACACACAATATTTTTATAATGAATTATTGCAATATGTTTTTAAACATATTCCGATTTTATATATAGCTACCTAATTACATATATATATGAATACAAATTATATGTATATTTTTAACATTAATATATAATATCTCTAATTTTACAGCTTGTAGAGATCTAACTACATACATAAGTTAACAATGATGTTTCGCCGTTAATTGTAAGATTCACTTATATGGAATATTGATAAGATTTCGTAATTATATTATTAAACCTAAATATCAATTTCGATTTGACAAGGCATATATGCTGCTACACAAAATATTCATATTAATATTTATAGCAATGCAATTATTTTATTATTATTTTACTCTATTAAATTAGATCAAAAGGCTCCGACAATATATTAACAGTAATAAAAATAAGTAAAAGAATTTAAGTCAGTGCAGTAATTCAAGCGCGGAAAGATTTATTGATTAATAAATTTATTTGAAACAAAATATATAACAAACGATTTGGTTCCTACAACGTGAGATAAAAAGAAGGAATTTATTTGTTTTGATCCCTGTACTGTATGATTTAATTCTAATTATTTTTATAAATCTTTATGCGTTTAATTACTACGTTGGCTTCTTTTTCTCTATTTTTATTGCTAATATTATTTTATTCTATTATACAAATTGTTTAATATAAAGATGACCATTATAATGATATTAGAAATTAAACGCATAAAAAGGGCCATATGCGATTGTATTTTTCTGTTTAAAGGCCAAAATATTTGATATATCAAACATATATTAAATATTTACTTTACAAATTAATTATAATTAAATATATCTTCTTGAAAATGTTATTATAATTATTTTTAATAATATTATATTAGAAAAACATAGTAATATTTCTAATGTAATATATATTTTAATATATCATATATATATATATATATTATAATATATGCGTATATATATGTGTATATAATATATATATATTAATATATTATAAAAGTATATATACTTTAATTACATCACAATTAAACCTAATAAGAATTTATATTGTAATAATTCACTATAAATGTCAGCAAATTGCTTTTTGATATAAAATATATAAACGTAATATATTATTATTACATGTAATATATATATTATTACACATAATAAATAGCTGATAAGATATATCTTGTACGTAAAAAAATGATTATAATTTCAACATTTTCACATATAAGATTTTTGATTAAATTTTCAGAATGCGAATAATTATATATAATGTATTGTGTTATATATATATAAAGTATGCTTTTTTATATCATATATATTTATTTCAATCGAAAGATATATATAAATTTATAATTTGTATAAGAAAATTTACGATGTCATTAAAAAGACTGCGAACTTTAGGCAACAAAATTTATAGTTATATATATATTATACAACGAACATTCATTTTATAACCTGCTACTTATTCTCAGCTAACAATATATATATATATATATATAGCTGTTAGTTGTAAATTATACCTTTTTTTAACCAGCTAGAACTGTGCATTTTTTTGCACCAATTGAGTTCTCTCATATTATTTATGTAAAAATATAATAAAATGTATAATAAAAGTATGTTGTAAAATCATGCGAAATATATTTCGTATAATATTGTGTTATGTAAAAGTATGTCAAATTAAAAAAATAAAGATTTCAACATAATGCCAGAATTTTTATCAAAAGGATAAAAATCTAATTGTAAGTCTAGATTCTAGATAAACAGTTTTCTATTTAGATTGTGTTCGAAAATATATTCACCTATTGTAAGCGCCCGATTGACCAATCAGGACAAAGAGATCCTCGGTCTCTGATTGGTCTGTCAAATTCACCGAATATGTACAGCCAGCTGAGATGCGAAGCGCGGTTCGATGTCCGATCAATGATCACATTCTCACCGACTGCCGATGCTGACGTAGCACACGCACATTCGAACGCGCACACACATTCGCGCGCCTTCGCGAGGATGTTCCAGTGGCACGTCGCGCGCGATTATTATTCGTAGTGACACGGTGTTATGCGATCTTGGTAGCAGCCAAAAGGAACGAGTCATTTTCAACAAATTTCCCTTTTTCGACTCATTAAAAAAAGATGCCATCGCGAACGGAAGCAGTCCCGAAGCTGGAGACACCGTCCAACGGAATTAATGCCGTTCTATTGGGACCACCTGGTAGCGGCAAGGGCACTCAGGTACTTTTTTTATTAGCCGTCCTCTTTGACCTGTTTGTCTTTCAGGAGTAATTTTGATTAAATAAATTTAAATAATTGATCTCTGATAAAAGTCAACTTTAATTATTAAATTGATGTTTGCTAGCACATTTTAAATCTGTTCTAAATATATCATTATTTATTACATAAATTCTCTTTTCTCGTATTTCTAATATGTAAATTATATAAAAGACTGGGCAAAAGATAGATTCATCCTTTTTCACTTTATGAGAAAAATTGAAATATCTTAATTGCAGATTATATTTCTTTTTACATTAATCATGCTGGAATACTTAATTATATGCAAATAAACTAAGAATTTTTAGTTAAATATTTCTGTTTCAGGCGGTGTTATTCAAAGACAGATATTGTGTGTGTCACCTGTCTACGGGTGATATGTTAAGGGCTGAAGTCAGTTCTGGTACGACTCTGGGAACTCAAATAAAAAAAGTAATGGACGAGGGTAAATTAGTCAGCGATGACTTGGTGGTTAGCATGATTGAAAACAATCTGGAGAAACCAGAGTGCAAGCGTGGTTTCTTGTTGGATGGATTTCCCAGAAGTGTACCTCAAGCAGAAAAGGTAAATTAAAAAGAAAAAGTTTATATATCTTATAAGAAAAGACTTGAATTTCTGTATCTTGCAAATTTTTTCTGTATAGCTCGATGAAATGCTGAATAAAAGGAAAATGCAGCTTGACGCTGTAGTTGAGTTTGGTATCGATGACAAGTTATTGATCAGTAGAATTTCAGGCAGATTAATACATCCAGCTAGTGGTAGATCTTATCATGAGATATCTGCCCCTCCCAAAGTCCCGATGAAAGATGATGTAAGTAATAAAAATAATTGTAATAAAAAATGTGAAACTTTTTATACAATTTTATATAATTTGAAGAAAAAGAGAATTTTGTACAATTATCTATCATAGTAGATACATACAATAGATTGTATTTGTAAAGTGTAGTTAAAAGATAAATTTAGTAATTATTACCTTTTATGACTACTTCTGTATATATGTCTTCACAGAAAATAACATAATCTAACATTAAATAACATTATCTTTACTGACATTTATGTATACATAAAAGTATAGTCATATGACATAGTTACATAATATTATATAATTACATAATGTTATGTAAGTTACATAAGTTCAATTGAAACATGAGACAAAAGTACAAGATTTTTAATTTTTTTTTTTACAGATTACTGGAGAACCTTTGATCAAGAGATCTGATGATAATGAGGAGGCTCTAAAAAAACGATTGGCGACATATCACACGCAAACTTTACCACTTGTTGATTATTATGCTCTGCAAGGAGTTCATTATTACATTAATGCTGCCCAATCTGCCGAAAAAGTCTTCAAAGATATCGACCAAATTTTCCTGAGATCCTCTAACAATAAGAAGAAGGGATTCTTCAGTAGATTCTTTTAGAACACGGCCAAACGAAATAGTTTTCTAAAACTAATAAATTTTTTCTTTTTTATAGGATTCTATATTTTTAGAATTTTATTTTTCTTGAAAGTAAGTTACAGCGATAATCGTAAATGCATTCATACAAAATAGTAATGTTGCAAAGATAATGATTTGTGTGTAACTCTTGTTTTAAAACTGAGAGCCATCTGTATCTCAAAATAATCTTAGTAACATGTAACAGTTGCATTTACAAGGATCACTGTAAACAATATATTTCGTAGCAATATCAGAGACATGTAATAGTGTGTTATAGGCACTATAATTTTCTAGAAAGGTATAATAAGTTATGACTGCAGATAAAGTGCACACAGTTTATCAATGCTCTAAAAATAGGTGTAAAGTATATATGTAACACCAATAACTTTGGTAGAGGAAAAGATATATTTGTATATAGCTGCTAAAAATACTTTGCTTCATTGTTACAAAACATTATATTTTTGTGTGATGTTTACATCATACTAAAGCACATTTATTGAAAAAATTTTTTACATACCACCATTTAGTTTTTTCTACCATGGGACTTTATCAGATTAAAACAAGTAAAATATCAGTAAAAATAAGTAGAGAAAACAGAGATTGTTCCAATTCCATGTACGCACATTTTTAATTCTGCAATTATATCATTTTTAACGTTACATACGACCGTCTGAGTTTGAATTGAAATTGAATGAATATAAATATTGAAAAATGCGAAGTTTTTTTTAAATTAATTATATAATTCTGAAAAGTTTGACATTTGACATTAAATACAGAATACTTGTGATTATATGTTTAACATTTTTTTTTTATTGTAACAGAAACTATCGAGAGAAAACAATAATAACTGTATAAATACACAAAACACTGCATTGCTATACATCATTTTTGAAGACATAATTTTATAAAAGTACGAAAGATGCAGATCAGAAACTATTTTACATAAAAAAAGCAAAAAAGATACATATATTCTGATACAACAATATACCATGTATGTATGCAACTCTTAAAACACTAATATTTTCCAAAGAAAAACGAATGTAAATTTAGATAAAAATAAACTACTTATGAAATCGTATTCTCACAATATTCTAATTTTGACGATTGTCTAACAAATTTAATGTTGGAATTCTTGATTAACTTTTATATAAACATAAGTGAAACATTTTCTTGTCGAATATTCTCAACATTTATTCTCTTTTCGAAGATTTTCTTTTACATGTAAAATATGTATAAAAATTTCTCAAGAGTGACAGAAAAAGGAAATGTTTAATTTTTTTTATTTTAAGTAAATTAAGTATATATCTAAAATATTATATATATATATATATATATATATATATATATATATATAATATTTTAGATATATACTTAATTTACTTAAAAATTTCTCAAGAGTGACAGAAAAAGGAAATGTTTAATTTTTTTTTATTTTAAGTAAATTAAGTATATATATATATATATATATATATATATATATATATATTTTACGCACATGTACAAATTAATTAATTTAATTTATATGTAATTGATACATATGATAAATCAGAAGTCTGGACAATTTTTAGGCTTCGTTTATCTTATCTAGAATGTGATTAAACCCGCAAATCATTTTTCGCGCGCAAATTTGATGGAGGGGGAAACGAGAAGATCGAACTAACGAAACGCCCCTTCCAATCCAATACTCCAATGTTCGCGCACCTAGGTTAGATTTATTTTATGCCTCTAATTGTAAGGAGGACGACGTTTCATTCAGTTATGGCGGAAAATGTTTTCATCCTGTGATGAATACTAAGTTAATGATTGTGTCGGTTTTATCGACTTGGCCGATCGCGCTGACCTGAAGAACGAGTCCCGATTTGGTTTGACAGTTCAGCACTTATAAATATTATCGTATAATCATGGATACGCGTGGCATCGAAGTCACGAATCAACTTCGAGTGAGTGTTCGGGGACTGGAAAAATGTGCATGATTTTCACAAATCGACAGGAAATATCTCGTCCTCTGTTACAAAGCATGACGTTTGTGATTTGAAAATCCTCATATAATTAGCATTAATACTGAATAATATCGAATTCTTTAGAAGAACGTGAGAGTTCAAAGTGACACAAACCGATTCTTGCATCTAGATCTACAATTCAACTCCGTTTATTTATTTATATAGCGTGAATAAAACGGAAAAAATATTTTTTAAAGAATTAATTGTATTTTTTGAATACATACATTTGTAAGGGATTATTTAGGTATTATTTAGCGAAATATCAAATTATATATCAATGATAAATAACTAGAAAATGCACAATGGTATTTTATAAACTGTATTTTTGCTAATCATCTTTATTTTAATTTTTTCAGAGCGCCATTCGCGCCAAACTCAATGAATTAGGTGTGCGCTACGATGAGGAACTGCCAGATTACATATTGGTGATGGTGGTCAACAAGAAATCCCGTCAACAGATGCACGATGATCTGAATCTGTTTCTAGAAGACTGCACAACTATATTTGTAGACTGGCTGCACGATCAAGTGCTAAAGAAACTGCAAAAAGTCACTGTGGCGAAGAAGAAGTCATCCCGTGAATTTGTACCTACAGTGGTGGTGAAACAGGAGGAGGAGAGAAAGAAACGAAAACTATCTGCGACCTCGTTTCTAGAGGATCAGGCTGTGGAACAGTCTACTGTCGACAAGTCGTCAGATAAGAACTCAAAGAACGATAAACCATCACAATCTGTGCAAAAGCAACAGACAGTAAAACCTTCTGTATCTTCCAATCAAAACTCAGAACAGAGTTTTAACAAGGGTGTGGAGAAAAACGCGAGGAACGTTGTACAAAGCAACAAAAATAAAACGGACGAGGTGTCGACACAAGAGTCTATCTCCTCGAACAGACTGCAACAGGATTTCGAGCGCGACGAAAACGCGATTACTGAAGAAAATTCTGTCCTGAAGACCGCGGATCAGAGATCTAACGAGACACCGGGTAATAAAAGCTTGAAGAGATCTCTTGAAACTTCTAATAGTCGTCAGGACAGCGTCGAGAAGAAAGACAACGAGGTGAAGCGACCAAAATCCTCCGAAGAGGAGGAAAAGAAGGAAGCGTCAACATCACCGGACACAATTTCTAAAAAGTTGAAGTCCTGCGTGAACAAACCAAAGATCACATCCGTTGTGTCGGTGAAGAACCGACTCGGCATAGTTTCCCCGCGGAAGAAGTTCGAGGTCTACAGGGAAAAGGAAGGGAACAATCGTTCTCGTCCGCTGGAGAAGCGATTCGACAAGTATCGTTACGACAATGAGCGCGGCAAAAGTAGCAGAAATTTCGAAGCGGACGATCGAACTTTGCGACGAAACCGCGACGGCGAGTCCTCGCGTCATCACGAACAGCTGACGACCAGATCGAATGACGTGAGGAGTCGAATAGAGAGCAACAAGAACGAGAGACTGAACAAAAACGCGACAGAATCCAGGGAGAGGATCCTGAATACCGGTTCTTCCAAAACTGACGCATTTGCCACGAGAAAGATTACATCTACCGTGAAGGATCGTCTGGGTATCGCGGGTATCGTCAATAATAAAACACAGAAGCAGTCTGTAAAGTCGCAAGAGACGGATTACTGGAACAGCTCGAGGAATCCAGAACAAATCGGCAACAACAATAAGAATATCAAGGACAGACTAGGTCCGGTAAGGACCAACTTTAGGCCGGTGCATAAAACTAGACAGTCTCGCGATAGCGAGGACGACGCATCTATGAATCTTGGCGCCGAAGAGGACGATGCAGAGGTAGAAGAAGAGGACGACGAGCTGGACAATGCCGCTCAGTCGTTGACGGGTCCTGTGAAATCGCACATAGTCGCCGTGAACAGGTCTGCATCGTCCGTCAGGATCGAAAGGAAACGATCGAAACCCACGAACGAAGTTCCGATTCAATACTTCAGTTTTGGAAGCGCGAAATCGCAGCCGGATAAGATGGACAGAGGAGAGTCCAGCGATGCGGATGACGTAAACGTCGAGGACACGAGGCTGCCGAGCAAAGTAATCGTCACACCTAGACCCTTGAAGCCGCTGCAACCGACGCAGAAGCGAGCCACGCAGTCGCTTCTATTAAGAGCGGTCGCAGAGGCGAATCAGTCCGTTGTCACGCAAAAAAATCCGGAACCGTCCCTGTTGGTGAGTCCTGTTAATAAATTGTAAATAAATGTCTGTGTGTAAATCATTTGAATCTCGAACAATAAACCTTTGCAACTGAATAAATATATTGTTCTCGTTACCACTGATGCAAATCTATTTAAATGAAATAATATAACGAATATGATATACATACAAATTGATAACATAAAATAATTTATTTTATAGAAGTCATCTAATTATTACTAACATTAAGTTTAAATAATCTAAAGAAAATAATAATCGGTCAAGTATTAATTGATACTAAATACAAAGAATGATTTTTGGTCAATTTTAGTAACATAAAATTAGAGGAAATTAAATTTCTCTATTATATATAAAATTAAAACTGAAATTTTCAAAATTAGTAAAATTAATTGTGAAATAATTGCAGTAATAATATAAACTAAAAAATTATTAATTAATTGTCCTGAAGATTCTAATAAAGATAAATGGCGTGTAATTATATTAAACTGATAGAAAGGATGAATAATTAATTAAACTGATTTAATAACTAATTGTAAATATTATAAATGATATAAGAACAAAAGAAAGATAGATGGAAATAAAAAATTATTAATATTATATAATTAAATTTCAAATAAAATTAATGAAATTCGTATAAACTTAAAAAACCATCGATAATAATTAATATAAATAGACGAATAGAGAGAGAAGTAATTATATTTGAAAAAGAATAATTAGATTCAAAATATCTCAATATGTGCTTATATTTTTATTATTTAAATTTTTAATATCTATAATGGGGTGATTCTCGAAAAAGTTTCAAATATCGAAAAAAAAAAAAAAAGTTTTATTCTCATCAGAGATTTTAATTATTTCTTCAGGACAAGAAGCCGGTCTTAAAACGTCTTAAGCCTACTCCAGCTCGTGATGTAAGTCAAAACTTGTCGGTACATTTTAATTCTAATAAGAGACTGGTCATGGAAAAGATTCAAGTCGAATTAAACACGGTAGATAATCTGGAGACGGAAGACGTCGAACCTTGTAAGTTTTACTTCTGCGTAAATAATGTTTCTTTTTGTGCCAGAATTTGAAAGAGTTACGGAACCTTTCCGTTCAACTACCATCCAGTTTCATTAGAATCTTTATTTCTTATTGATTTTCCATTATTTTAAATATACAAGTCGCATTCCATAAATGTTTCAGAGAGAAACAGGTACTCAAAACCGCTCAAATAAAAGATTTCAAAAAATACTTAAGAATCTCTTCATGAATACAAAGATTAACTCTTTCATCTGACTCTTAACAATTATTATTATTATATTACTATTTATTGTTATATTACATTATGACGTATATTTTGTAGACGTGCCTCAGGCGGTGACGGACGAGCATATGGGAGTTGTGATGTCGTTGTTCCAAAGGAGCGACGACAATCAGAAGTTTCTGGTCACTCTGAACGGATACAACAACAATCTGAAGGAGAAGATCAGCTCCGAGGAGGACGACGAGCGACTGGAGATGGAGGTAAATTTTCTTCCGCCTGTAAAATGACCTTCCCTTTCCCCCGGAAGTTTAATCCTCGCGCGCATTCTAGACGCCCGATGTTCCTCCTCATGCTCGCAGGTGAACGAGGACGACGAGCTCGCGCTGTTGACGACGCATAGCGAGGCGTACGTAGCGACGACGACGACATCGACGTCGGCGCTTGCACCTACATCGACGATGATCGACTTGGAAGCAGGCGCGTTCAGAATAACGGAGGACGACGCGGAAGACGTCAGTCCGAAGGAAACGAGCGGAGAGGAGAACAATGAGAACTGCAATACGGAGAATATGGATAAGACTGACGAGATGCCGCGAAGACGCAGAAAATTGAGTCCTATAATATATAACAGATCTCAGTCACCGAGTCCCACGCGGTTGAAATCTACCGCTTCGTTATTGCCGACGCTAGTCACCAAACGTATGAATCGAAATCTTTTCTAAAACTCGTCTTCAGCGTGATGTGTATTATTATGTTGATAGATTTTATTCGTTTTTCCAGTTATGGATAAGAAACCGGAAAGTACAAGCGTAACTGTACCAGATAAATCTAGGGAGAACTGTAGATACTGGCCAAATTGTACACTAGGAAACAAATGCGCATACCTTCATCCTCCTCTTATGTGCAGGTAACGTATTTTTATTCATATACAAACTTTCATTATTTTTATATATTTATTATAGTATATATATATGTATATACATAGTATATAGCTGTTGAAATTTAAATGATTTTCACATTGAGAGCTTTAACGTTTTTGTTATATATTTATTATATATTTGGCACTATAATGCCATTTTAATAGCGCAAGTTTAGATACATTCGTAAGAGTCTTTTAATTTTAATTTTAATTTAGATACATTTATATGTACTCATATTTGTAATTGTTTTTTATTGAAATGTTTAGTCTCGTTTATTTCAAATTATATACTTTATTTTTACAATATGACCTAGAAGCTCTTATATTTAAATTTTTATGACTGATTTTTCTTTCACAGTGCCTTTCCAGCGTGCAAGTTCGGGGACAAGTGCGCCTACAAGCATCCCAAGTGCAAGTTTGGTTTATCTTGCACGAAGTTGGGCTGCGTGTTTTCTCATCCCGCTCAGCAGTGCAAGTACCATCCGTTTTGCACAAAACCAGCATGTCCATACTCTCATCCGGCTACTTCCACTCCGACAACGGAAGCGACGAATCAGCGGGCAAAGTTTACTTGGCGACGGCGAGATTGAGCGAATCTTGTCGTACATTGTTCTATCGAGAAATAATCGAGTTTTAAATCGCAAAAAATTACTTTGTATAGGTCGACGATAAGACACGTACCTCATGCAAATTTCAAATGTTGACGCGAGATTGTCGTATCGAAATTACTGAATTGACTTCATTATTGAAGAATGTTAGTGAAGAATGTATCTGGAAAAAATTATGAAGGTTTTAGTCATGATTTATTATATCGGATCATAGTTTCTAACTTTCCTCTGGTGATGTTTAATGTGAAATAGAGAGAGAGACAGAGAAAGAAGAAATCATACAATCTTTAAAGCGTTTAATTTTAATTAAAGCAAATTAAAATTACTTGTTAAAGCTTTAATTTGTAATTTAGGATACATTAAGTTGTTGATTTACTTCCCTCTTATTCATCTATTTTCGTAAATAATAAGCTCGCGCGTATGCGTCGTCAGTCCGTATTGGACGATCTGCTGCCATTTTTAGATTATAGTTCTATGTATGATGTACTGAAGAGGAAAGATGTAGCTTAGTTTTAAACATGGCTAATCGACATTGATTCTATCAGCTTTAGGATGATTCTAAGATTCCTTCTTTCATAACGCAAGATACATCTTGCCGCAACAATTTGATTTATTACGTGTATTATATAGTGAACACCGCGTGAATATGCTCGAGAATGTGTCGCCAATTGTGCGCTTCTAAGTATATTGTCAAATGTATACACATACACACACACACAATAAAATCTGAAGATAGGAAATATGAGAAGGAAAGATTCAATGTTTCAAAAATAAAACTAATTTATAGAAAATAATTATGCATTTGCTTTTGATAATGATATGTCTCAATAATATTATAAATCTGATGCGCGACAGCTTTCCATTGTGTTATGAATAATACAGAACCTCTTTTGCTTTCTATGATTTTATACAATTTGTGTAAAATTAAATAAATGTGTTGGAATATCAAAGTATTTGGCTTTTATGATGCTAGTTTTATTCTTGAAACTTTATCTTTTTCACACACATTTCATTTTCAAATTATATTTTCTACATATACATATTTTATAGATATATTTAATGAATTAAGCTCTATCAATATCTAGAATGATATCAATTGCTCGATAGAAAAATTGTTATAATTATCTTTCATTATTCTCTTCTTTTTTCTATCTAAAGCATCAATCATCAATTTAATAGTAATCAGCATTGACTGAAACTAGAGGATGATACTCATAGATACTTCTTGTCACGGTTGACAATTCCTATAAAAAAAAATATGAATGCTTGGTCTAGATATATATATATATATATATATATTGTTACAAAAATTTACTTTTACTCATTTTGGGCTATGGCAAATCTCTTTTTTTGAAAATATTTATAATTAAAAGTATAAATCAGTCATCTTCACCAGAATGAAGAAAAGCATGGTAAAAGCTGGATATTTTGATATTTGACCATGTTTATGTAATTGATACGAATTGTATAGAACCGTAAGAGTGATTTTGTTATTATTTATCTAGTGCTAATAAATTATTGTGCATCAGGCGCATAATATTAATTGAGACCTGTTATTATTAGAAGCAAAAATATATAATGATTTCTGTAAATTGTAATTCCCTTTTTAAAATAGTCTGCCTTTCTGTCCTATACCTTTTATTTTCAGTTTAAAAAAATAAAACTTTGAACTATATATTTTTACACAAGTATATTTATTAATGTACGATCATCTTAATCTTTTAGCAATTCTATAATGTAACAAGAAAATATGCATTCTGTATTAAATTTCTTTTCATTGTTGCATGCATTTTAATATATATAATATATATGTAGAATAATCTATTATGTAGAAATTTATATATGCATATAGAATGATTTGTTATATGTGATGCTTAGAAATATTTTTTGCAATATCTATTAACATTAATGTATAGTATTGTATATATATATATATATATATATATATATATTATAATTTTTTTCTAATAGTTTTTAAATTAGTGGAATTTTAGGCACGCGTATAATTTTTAATGCAAAATACGTCTTTGCTTAGTGTAAACTTTTAAAGAACACAAATCATGAAATATTCAAAATGAGAAACATCTTGTTACTTACCATTTTTCTATTTTTTATATTTCTTGATACCCTTACGTTGGTATATTCGATGGTATTGCACTATCGTCTCGGAACAAGGATAATAATAGGAAATAGGAAAGAAAATAAAAAAAGAGAAAAAGAATAATATGTTATATATATACGGTACGTACATACATGTACAACATATATATACATATATGTGTATAAAAATGTGCGCAACATTCTTCGCGAAATAATTTGGCAAGGACTAAAAGTATTATAATTACGTATAAATGGTCCGCATGTATGTGTATGTATATATGTGTGAGTGTGTTTGTATACGCGCATGCAAATTGTTGAGAAATCAACGAATTCACGCGATTAAAAAATCGGCGTTTCGCACGTCTTCGAAAAAAAAAACGCGTATACGCACAAAGTATTTTTTCGGTACGCAGAGTGTTATAATTTTATATTAATTTCATTTCATATATATAATAATAAAAATAATATAATAATATTACAATAATATAATTACAAATTAATTTTATCCAATAATATTCTATTTTATTTCACTAGATTTTTTTAATAATGTTCCTCGCGCGTTCTCCGCTTTTCAAATAGCGAGTAGCCGTAGAAGAAAGCGCGGAGAGGCGGTCTTAATGCTCAATCTATTTGATTTTATCACAGGAGCCCGCCTCCAACCGCCGATTTCTCGCATCACTTTCTCTCTCTCTCTCTCTCTCTCTCTCTCTCTCTCTCTCTTTCTCTCTTTGACACTTTGTTGCAAATTATAATTATACAATTGTGTGTGCTACGCGAACGATACAGTAAATAATGAACGAGGAAAGCACAATGATATAAGTCATATTTTTATGAATGTTTTAAAAATATTTTTGATATAAAATTATTACGCAAAAAACAAAAGAGAAATTACACATTTTACATTTTATATCAAAGTGATAGTAAGATTTATTTAATTTGATATATTTTATATTTATTTATTATAAAATAGAAATTAGAAAATGATTCAACAAATAAATTACAATTTTTATGTCTAATGAAAATACATATTTATAAATAATGATCACATTTTGTTTTACTATCCTTTGTGTTTTTTGTGACTTGTATCATTATTTTTCTTTCGACAGTTCATGTAAATGTTCGACAAACGCAGAATCTGGATTGTCTCCACAAACGTAATTTCAAAAAAGAAAAACTTTTCTTTTTTTATAACTACATTTTCTACATCTCCTTTTTGCACAATTCTTTTTCCTTCCTCTCGTCCTATAAAGTTCGACGCATATACATGTTTCATTTTGAACGCAGAAAGTATAAGCGTCACATTCTTATCACACACACACATTCCTCTCTTATCGCCACTCTATTTATTTACATCTTACCGCAACGAACATCTCTTTTGTTTTTTCCCACACTATTCATTATAACGCAAATTAACGCCACAGTGTTACGGCTCGGTTTCGCGAAAATTTCGGACGTGTTTCCTTCGGAATTCTTTTCTCAGGCCGTTATTATTCGTTATTTCCATTTGATTGTATCATATTACCTCACGACAAAGGGATATTCATTGTATTCATCGTCGTCGAAACCGAATGCCGAGAACACTGTTAACAAATCTTCCACATAACATGAGCCAAGTTATAGAATCCTCTGAATTTATGAAATCACCGCAATATCGTGTATTTAATTCACTTTTTTATCTTTTAAAGTCAATAATATAATATATTGATATATATTTTGTTTTGAGACTAACATAAAATAAAAGTTTTAAATTAAAACCAGTAAAACTTTCTCGATCTCAATAACATTGGGAGAATCGCAGCTTTTCCTAAAAAATCTATTCGTGACAACATCATAGCTATCACAAGGATTCCATTTTTTTCCTGCGCTTCCTGTCACATATTCTGGATTCGCGCACATTCCACAGATCCTGAATGGATCGATATAACGAACACTTAATAAATACTCAGTCCCGCTCGTATACATATTTCGTTCGGATCGTCTTACGTATATCGGGGTATATGTAATCAAACACATCATTTGCATATACAGCGAAATGTCGTCGCGATTGTCGGTGCACGAGTTCACATTGCTTTTCGGTTACGCGATGAACGCAGGGATTGACAATAAGCAAGTTCGCATAATTCTGACAGACGATCTCATCAATTTTTGACCGTATTTTGGTGACTTATTAAAATGTTATCGCAAGCTCGGTTAAACGGGAATAACATCACGGTATTTATATTCGGATAAAAGGGAATGAGAAAAGTGGAAAATTTCTAAAATTGGCAGTAATATTTTTGTAGGATCAAGAGATTTAGTATAATATATCTAAGGATCTTTGAAAGATTTGATACAATCGAGAGATATGAGTATGAGATATCTCTGTTATCGATAACGTTTTTGTATTTAAACTCGCATTTTTCCATTTGGCAGTAGAATTCTGACAAGATCAGTAGATAATCTAAGATTTGGAAAGACTCGATCTCAGACTGGGATCGTTACTATCTATCCCATTATATATATATGTATATATATATATTGTAATTATTTACTACCAATGATAATTTACTCGAGAAGCTCGAATTTTTGGGGCAATTGTGGCAGTAAGTCCGATGATACAATGTTAACGGTACATCTCTAAAATTCGGAAAGATGTTCAAACAGCGTAACGTGATTGTTCTTACAATAAGCATAGGTACTATACAATAAATTGTATATCGTCACTTGTAATATATTCAACGTTCGCATAAATAAAATTAATTTCCTGAAAGACATCCCGCGCAGAAAAAGAAATCCTCTCTCGCATGGAAATATTTTCATTCATGCAAATTCGAAAGGTGTGTCATATACGTCTATATTTCGAGACTTTCCTCGCAACAAAAGAGCATATAATATTATGTTCAGTCAAGAAGCAGAGATTGGTGAAGGGAGACAAAATGGTCAGATGTGCTGCTGCCTTAAATCCTTTAACTCGTTGATTGTAAAATCCATTATCGCAGCTCTAAATATCTGGACCACAGTGCCAGGTTTACTTAACATCGTCATGATGGGATGGATAAAAGCTACCGTAAGAATTTAGCGAAATTCGTTACCCCGCTAAATGTTTCCATACAATGTCTCTCGTTCGAAAGGCAGATAGCTGATGGATTCTTTCTCACCTCTGTCCGTTTTTCTTCAAAAAACAGACCGGCGAAGAGCTATGGCCACGAAAATTCGTATACTCCGTGCGCTAGGTCGATTGACTAACAATTTCGATATTCGCTGAATCTACTTAGAGTACGCATTATTCGATTGAGCGAATATAGAAATTGAGGATCCGGAAATGGATCAAATAGATGATTGCTCGCGACGAATGTCCTTGACGATTTCTAGGAGCAAGGAGATATTCGCGAGACACTTCTTACGCGCGATTCCAAGTCTTTTCTATCGAGAGTTCCTTTCCATTCGATCTCGTGAATCGAGATCGGGCAATATATTTACACCAGGCTAGGCTCAGAGTCGCAAGATCCGCACAATCACAGGTAATCGTTGAGGCAACCGCCGAACCACATCACTACTATAGGTACCAGATACGTCGTCAGCGCCCTGGACAGCGACATCTTCTGCTTGCTGGCACCGCTGCTGTCCACAGTGGTGGTCTGATTGTTGCCCGAGCCCGTTGTGCTGCTCGTACCGGTAGCTGTACCTGTACCCGTACCCTTGTGCGGCTCGATATCCACTCGCGACGGCGTCTCGGCCTCATGAACTACTACCGGCGGAGACGGCTGTTTCGATGGCTGTTCTGGCTCCGACTCCACGTTCGATTCGTAACCGGAGCCCTCCTTGAAACCGTCCTCGTCGTCGGTGAACGCACCGTCGCCGGAACCGCTGCCGGACCCGTACCACGTTTCCTCCTCTGTTAAGTTATTAAGAGTTATATTATCTAATAGATAATATAATGAAAAAAAGAGATTATTAAAACACATAAAAATTATAACATAAATTATATTATAATGACATTAAAAGATATTAAATCAATAATATTAAAAGATAAATATTAATTAAAATGTAAAGATTATACAATAATATATGTAAACAGATTATAAAGATTATAGGAGATAAAAACTATTTTTTTAATTATAATTATATTTTATGATTTATCTATAGGCTCAAGTTATGACGTTATCACAATCAACGCCGGGTATAATCACCTGTATCAATCCAATTGACGTCCTGTCCGTTGAACGCTAATTTCAACTTATTTGAGATGTCACCGAGCGCAAAAGTCTGCTCCTTTACGATGGTCGATCTTGGTCCCATGCTGCGCACTTCCGGGTTCATCATCTGTGTTTCACCGTCCGAGGACACTGGATATATATATCTAGAAGAATATAACAGTCTTGTAAAAGTCTGGTAAACATATTGTGCAATCATACATTTATTACACACATATATATATATATATATATGTGTGTGTGTGTAATTTTTATTTTTTATACATTGAATTGAAATGATTAAGTTTCTCAAAAGAAGTATTTAGTAATTATCTATAACGGAAATTATTTATGAATCGATCCAATGTATGCAGTACAAACATACTTGTCTACGTGTGTGCCATTCCAGCATTCTTTCGTGTTGCTAGGCGGAACAACCAGACCGTCGTTGCACAACCTATAGGGCAGATAGACCCAAAACTGCCTGAGATCGCGCACTCGCTGACGTATCTCCCTCACCAATTTATCTAGGGCCGCGGAAGAGGAGGGGTTGCGATCCTCGGTCAATGTTTCCTGTTCGAAATTCAATGATTCCAGCTCCAGCTCGTGATTATCCCTGCGTCTACGTCTACCTAGCATCGGCCGACCGCAACCGGTGAACACGCGTTGTGACACGTCTTGACTGCTCTCTTGGAAGTTCATGATTGCCTCGGAGATCTTAAGATTGATCGGACGCACCAGCACCTCGATGTTAAACGGGCCGTTCAGCCGATCAGCGACCTTGTCCACAGCCTCTGCATTTGGAAAAGATAAATTAGAATTAGAGATTACTTCATTCAATGAAGAAATATGAAGAAAGATAGGATATTTTTGTCGAAAAAATTGTTTTTACTTTCACAAAAGATTTTAAAATATAAATTGCTACTATATTCACTTCACAAATCTTAGGAGGATGGTTTTTAAATCCCTTTCTTTCTAAAAAAATTTAAAAAATAATAACAATAACATCGGCAGTTCTACTACCTTGTCATTGATTTTGGAGTAAACGCTCGCTTTAGGTCGTGATACCACGAAAAATATCACAAATCAAATAATATTACCGAAACTCATTATCAAGACATCAAGATTCGCTAGTGCTAACATTAATATTTTCATTTATAAATACTTTATGAATAAGAGACTCAAGAGGTACGCGATGCAGCACTCGTCCTCCGCATAAAAAGGCCACAAGGATATGCAAACACGTTGCGTTATTGCGATAATTCGTGTCCTCTCGAGATATAATAGCCGATAGTAGCTTGAGGGAGAAAAGAGAGAGGAGACTGAATCGCTCACCGACGAACTGATTCCATTCAGTGTCGAGTGCCGCGTGTTGCGCCAAGCAACCCTTCATCACGTTGGCGCACATGTCGCCGCACGCCAGCACGTTGTCCGATATACCGCTACAGGAAGGACAGGCTGTCATCCTGGTCAGGGCAGCTGCGCAATCAGCCGATGGTTTCAGCTACAGACAACAAAGAATTCGTTTTGGAATCTGCGCACGGTTGTGGTTGCAGAGGTAATGGCGTAAGAGCCGCAAGAAGCATTCGAAGAAACTTATATATATAAAGTAGTACAAAGCAAAAACGAGGGAGTAAAGCAGAGAGCTTTACACCTATATAGATTAATATTTATATTAATATTGAATACATAAATATTCTATTTTTTGAAATCGATTCTAATCACTTCAGATATATAGAAAGTAAATGAGACACTTCATCAAATAAATCTGTATCAATTTTTTTTCAAATTCTTTTAAGAATTAGGGATTCAAGTTTTTTCCTACATTAGATTGTAGACTAATATAGTTTAAATTAGTATAAATGTTGATTTGAAAATTATTTAGTTATCGCGAATTCTAATCAATGTTAAATCGAATCATCTTGATAGAGTTTTGATCTCTCACCGATTGCATGTTTTTCATCACGCTTGCAGCGACTGTCAGAGCTTGGCTAAAGGCTCTCGTGGCCACGAAGGATCGTTTGATCTGGACACCCAATTTCTGCGGCACGTCTCCGAACGGTCTCATCTCTTTCATGTGTTCGCCTACGCACTCCAGATATTTATTGTCGAAGATGTACTGGCTGTTGAGCACGGTAAACATTTTCTGATAGAGAGTGTTGAAGAAATTGTCCATGGCTTCGTCAAGGTCCACCTGGAGAGAGAGAGACAGAAAGAGAAAATGCATAAATAATAATTTTAATCTTACATACATACATTATTCCATCATATATATATATATATATACATTTATCTTAAAGAGAGAAAGATTTGAAAAACGACATTAAATCGCAATAATCTGTTTTTAATTTAATTATAAGAATAACGTTGATATAAAATTTATTATATAGAACGCTTGTAAAATAAGAGCATAACTTTTTAATGGAGAAAATATATACAACACATACAACTCTGAGGCACTAAATATATAAAATAATTGTGCAAATAGAATTGTAATTTTTTTCTCTCAATTTGCATACATAAATTTGATCTCGATACATATAACCGCTATTAAAGCCGTATTAATCCCGCGAGTCAGATAATTCGATTGAATGATTATTCAGAGGGCGAGTCGCGCTTTTTCCGTTTACTTTGGTATTCAGTCCTCGTAGCCTCAAACAAATTGGGCTGGACCCGATCATAACTCGAATTAATCGAAAGTCGACAACCGAGACGCCAAGTCCGACGACTCAATGGAATATTAATGACTTCCAGCAATTACTCGCGCAATTAGAATACAAGAGCACCTGTTAAGAACTCGATTTCGCTGCCTGTGATCCTGTACAAATCGCGAATAAGAGACGGGAAAAGAGAGGAAAGGACAAATCGATTCAATATATTTAATCCGCGGGTGTTCTTGTCCCGAAACAAACTTTTAACATTAGTATATGGCACTTGATCTGATTACACGTTTTTCAAGTCTTGAAATGAATTACGAGTTACATTCGTTCAGAATATTTAATATCGGAAAACAGTCTAACTATTTCTTTCTCGTATAATACTTTTTAACTACGCAGTTCAATGAAAATAGTACAAAAAAAGTTAATTCTTTTCTATAATATTTTTATGCCAAATGCAAGTCCAGTCTTTAAATTTCTCTGTTAAAATAAGAACTGTCATAATTTTACGAGAAATTTGCGCTTAAATTAAAAACAGCCATTTTATAATACATAACTACGATGTAAAATACAATAAAGAATGATTGTTGCAATTATATATTATGTTACAATAATATATTATGAATGTTGTTAAAATTATTAGCCTTCAAAAAGAATTGGTTACGTCAATCATACTTGTCAAACTCAATATAATATTATATCGACGAAATCAATATAATTTTTTTATAGTGATTGTACAATATTAATTCTCGGATTTTTAAAGGTAAAAAAAAAATCTCTGACAATCGATTCTCTGTTTTTTAGAGAGTAAACGCTCTGGATTAGACAAATTAGAATTAATTTCAACATATTGCAAAAAATCCAAGAAAATGTTGATTTCGGAGCCGCGTTCGCGAAGAAAATATCTCTCGCATAGAAGCTTATAGCATTCGTGAATTAAGGACGACATGGTCCGACAGATTTGACATTCGCGATAAATTTATTAGCGATACGTGTCGTGCTGCAACAATAATGCAATCTATCTACGCGATCAACACTTTGGCTCCATCGTGCAACAGGAAGGTACGAGCGGCGCCGGTAGATAATTTGAATGACAATCGATACAAGCCAATTCGTCTTGATCGTCATCTTCCTCCAGTCTCTCCCTTTCAATATCACGCATTGGTGAATAATAAATACAAACGTCTACCACTTACAAATTAAATAATATTAAATTAAATGAAAAGAGTGCAATGTATTTTAAGGGTACATTATTCTCTTTAAACCTTTAACAGTCTCTCTTATTTCTACTTGTATGTTTCAAAAAAAAGAAGACATTCATCATGCTTTTCTTTCACAAGTTTAGTGTAATTTACCCTAAATATGATGTCGTGTGACCCTGTCACGTACAAACCATCAAGTAACAATTCGATCAGCGAGAAACTTGGTTTCTTTTATGAGTCAAGAGAGAATAGCTCGTAAAATTCAATGGATTGCAGCGTAATTGCGAAAGATCTTCGACAGGTAGTGTAATAGTAAAAAGGTATAAATGTAACAAAATATCTGATGTATATCTCTACCTATGAAAAAGATGCGTAAAGGGATTTTCTTCGAAGGTCCGACACAGTAGAATATTTTCATCTTGACCCTTTAGGGACAATAGCCGAACGATGGTCAAAGGCTTTGATTAAACCCGCCTTCGTATATCAGACTCCACCCCAAATTTTCGGCAACGTGAGCCAAACGTTGTAGATAACGGGGTTGCTTGCGTAGTCGAATTCTAATAGAAACTCCCGACCTCGAAAAGGACGAAATAAAGGTCGGTGTATATCCAACGCGAAAAGCTCTCACGTTTGTTCTCGATCCACTCGAAACGCGAAGCATTTTATTCTGTCATAAAGAACTGTCATTTTAAACAGTTGATCTTTCATATTAACGAAACTGTTACCATCATATGACGTGCATCTTAAAACCATAAAATCTTAAATTTTTTCCTTTCTTAACACAAAGTGCCCTATTTTAATTAATATCGAATATTGCTAAACCTATGACAATAACGAGAAAATATTTTATATAAAAGTTAAAAGAAGCCGAAAAAATTGATAATCTTTTTCAGGTCACTCTTGAAAAAATTTTTTAAGTCAATCTAATTTCAGACTTCTAATTAATTTAACCAACCTAATTTTTTTTATATCAATCGATTCGTCTCAATATTTTGGCATGAAAGATCATAAGGATATGATAAAAAAAAGTTTGCGTTTACGAAATATTTTATACTTTCATTATTTTACATAAATTGTAAAATATTTTTTTCGACAATCTTACCTCCATACTTTTATACACAATAAAAAATGGAAAAAAATTAATTGATGTAAAGAAAACGCATAGCTGCTCCTTAATAAAAAGTAACTATATAAATATATCAGCTACGTACATATAAAATAGATAAGCTACGTAACACGTAAAATGTAGTTTTATATAAATGTTACATAATTCTATAATACATGTATACTTTTGAAAAATATATATCGAGTCCCTATACACTACTCATTTCCTAACATCTTGTGTTTCTTACCTAATATCCCGAGAAGGTGTCGTCGAGCGTAATTGCGCGGAACGGCTTGTAATAAACTTTAGATCCCGAGACGCGCCTTGGTAGCTCTAGAAATTTTCTTCATGGCTCGGCGTCTTATTTATTCGCGCTTAATACACCAGACGAAGGCGAGGAGTAAAGGAAGGGCAGAAGATGGCGGGGAAATTAACGCGCGATTGCAATTTTCACCGGTGCTACAGCGCGACATCAAACGAGAAGTAAATGAATTCCTTAACGTTAGAAAGACGTGTAACTCTGCAAAACCAAATTTTCGGAAAATAGAAGAGGGAATTTCCGTTCCGTTCTCGGAAATGCGAAACTTGTTTTGAACAACAGCGCATATTAAATATATTGCGTGAATAATACACAGTAAATGTGCCGTTTTGATATAAATTGAGAGAAATCTTCCGAAATAAAATTTTAATTGAATTTAAATAAAAATTTTCAGCAAGAAGAAATGAAACTTTATGCTCGTTTAACATAGTAAAATTAACATTCTTTTTAAAGACAGGAAAAAGAAATAAGGATGCTCACCGTTCCCTTTGAGTAATAATTGTCCAGCTCGTCAAAGAAGTCCGTGAAGACATACGCGTTCTGTTCGTAGAGGATGCCGTAAGTCTTCTTGAACATTTCATGAAAGCCTCGTTTGCTGGTTTCCAATAGATCCTTGAAAAAACCTGCAAAAATGTGGTAATGTAATTCTGCTTATATATAAAATTGTTGATAATGTTCTTTTAACATACGAACTTTTGCAAGCGCCTAATATCATCAATATGTAAAACGATCCGCGCATTCGCACGCTATTACGAAACAATCGCGTCGCGAAAATTTGGAAACGCATCGTTCTCTAATAGCGAATTTGATTGGATGCACTAGTGCGCACTGAGTGCACATAAAGGTTATCGCATACAACTTTACAAGGACATAAGTAATTAAAAAAGTAAAATATTTAATAGAGACATTATCATTATTTATCTTGAACAAATAATAATATGACTCTTAATTATTTTCCTTTTTTAATTACTCGTGTCATTGTGAACTTGTGTGCGATAAATCTTTATATGCACACTAATGCACACTAATGCACACTAATTCACACTAATGCACACTAATTCACACTAATGCACACTAAATTAACATCATTAACATCATGAAATTAGAAATCATTTTTTATTATATTTTTAATAACGTGCTATGCAAGTTTTATCGGCAATAGAATTCATATTAAGCGAAAGTCTACGTGGAAATCTCGAAATGGTTTATCGGGGCAAGTTTCACGACGCTTTGACGCCTTTCTCGGTGTAAAATCGCGGCCGAAGGCAAAATGGGAAATTAGTCGAGATTTCAGGGTGCGAATCGTCGTACAACGGGGGTAGATGGTTGTATCGCGAATTAAAAGCTTGACAAGTACCCATTTTCCTTTCAGTTTTCTCTCTCTTTCTCTCGACACTCTTCTCGCTGTCGATTGCGTCTGTGCTTTTTACAACACTCTTCCGACGCGACGTCGGGCATCGCGGACTCGTGACAGAGAAAGAGAGAGAACTGGGGGAGAAGGCTCGTCGCTAAAAGGAATTTTAATCACATTCCCCCGCGGCTGAAGTGACGATAAGGAGATTCGTCGGTGGGCGAAGAAGGCGGTGGAAAAACGCCGCTCGTTCTCGATGTACTACACGCACTTTATTCCTGAAGAGTTTACGGCTTTTTTCAGCCACGAGACCAAGTCAATAATGCCACCTCATTGACGTGACATTTCGACGACATCAAATGCGACATTTAGATACGTCGAAGGGAGATTTTATATTATTAGCTCATTAACACACGTTGCACTCCCTTGCGAAAACCATTTTTCAGCGTAGTTCAGAGGCAGATGAGGCGTTAAATCAAATTAAATTAAATTAAATCTCGATGAGCAAGTGCAAGCTTAAAAAAACGAACATTTTCGATTAAAATTATACATATGTATATTATAATTTAAACGAAAGCGTAAATTACTCAACAATAAATTTGAGAACAATTTAAGAATTTTTATATTCTATGTATACAACTTCAACAATGTGCTAACATATATATAATTCCAGAATTAAGATAAATTGTTTGTGGACAGGATTGAGCTTCTTAATATTTTCTGATGAAAAATATCATTTTTAAGAAATCTTTCTAAATTAATTTTCCCCACACTGAGACGATCTTTGATCAGAGGTCCTACCCCATCATCTAACGCCAGCAATTATAGTGTGAAAATTAGAACGCGTCCTTTCAAGCATCTTCGGCTGTCTAATGATCCCGTTTAATGAAATTACTCGAAGGCATCTCACCGGTCTTTCATCTTTTCCGTTGGACATCGCTTTCAAGGCCGAAGGTCCTTTGAGGTGCCTAAACCTAGAAACCTGAGTATGTACTCACTTTAAAGTAAACCTTCACTTTACATTTTACTATATACTATGTCATTTGCGAAATCGTTTTAAATCAAAATAATTCTTATTTCTTTCGAATTTAAATTGAGAAGAAAATAGCGTGTCTACTCCAATCTTGCAAAAAAATTTTCCGAAAATTTTTTGATATTTTAAATATTTTCGTTTGTAGGTAAAATAAGAAAATATGTAATTGGAGTTTTTTAAAATAAATCTATTGCATGTGCGCCAATGTTTTCTATTCATACGATTATAAAGATTACCAAAAGAATACAGTTTTTTAAAATATTTAATATTGATTTACTGAGCGTAAATAAATTATTTAGACAATAATAAAATGCAATATATCACTAAAACAAACGCTGATATATGAAAATATACTTAACGTAAAAATATAAAACAAAAAGTAATTTATCATAAATTTCTCTTTAAAGAGTACCTAATTTATTTAAATATTATTTACAAAATTGAACAATTTTTTTGAAATTTAAGACTTGATATTAAAATAATCACATGTGATTTTAATAAAAATTAAAATATTGCAAAGATTAAACTTGTTGTTTCTCCAAGGAGTAGACACCATAAAAAATTATACTTAACATATATAATAATTCATTTTATATATATGTATTAGAGAATGTTGTATTATTTTTTACTTTTTCATTTGTATCTGAGAATATTATATCATTTAGTATGTAAAGAAATCTTTTAAGAATATTTTAATATTTTTCGAAGAGTATTCACTCTCTACAATATTAATAGTCTCTTTTATAGATTTATGTTACACGTATACAATTTGTGAATCTGAGATACACATGCAATTTTCCACTTTTATATTTTCAATACATCAATTTTTTCAATTTTACGAATCATCTCTCATAATTTTTCGACGGGCATTTATAGATATTCTATTGAACGGTACATCTTGCATGTCTATGTAAGGAAGAGAACGGTACACTGGAGACAATGCGATTTTCTCCGTTCGCCGATATTCTATATTTTGCAATGATGATAGGGAGAACTTGGAGGAACTCCGTTAACTTATGCATCTAAGTTTCTACACAATGTCGCGATATGCCATTCGTGACCGAAGCTAACAGCTCTGCCAATTGTCTCCCTCGGCCTTCCTTATACTTATTGTATATAGCCGGCGCCAGATATTTCGCAAAGACACTTCTTTTTCGCACAGCGCAATCTTATACTTTTGGCTACTTTCATCTAAAGATTTCTCTCCTTATGCAAAAGATATAGCATTATCTTTCATGAACTCAATACTGATCTTTCTCGAATCAAGAATTGAAATACATATTATTCGAATTCTTCAGTGCTCAAACAAAGATATACTTTCATGTATTTCTCGAAGAATTTTATTATCCTTATGCAAAAGATTATGCAAAGATAGCATTATCAAAATTTACCCACTGAACAAAATTATTAATTAATAAATATTTGTATCAATACTGCTACTAATTAATTATTCATTTCAAACAAATAAATATTTATCTATTTTGAAAAAGACTTTCTTATATCGAATCAACGATTTATTAGACGATATTGAAATAAATATTAATTCGAATTCAATAAATTTTATTCAGTGCTCAAACAAAGATGAAAAATAACAGAAGAGAAACATTGTAATTATTTAAACAAAAGAATTACGCTATACACGCGTTAATGTTTCCGAAGAAGTTCCCTCTGTTTCTCGAAGTTGTTTCATTGCAACTGGCGCTTATGGCAATGGATAGTGTTCGAAATGGCTTCAGAAACAAGGGAGAAAGGGGAAGGTTCGAATAATTACCGTTCTCGACACACAGGCACTCGAGAGGGCATTCAAGTATTGTGCGAATTGTTAAAGCTACCTGTCGCACCGATGCTAATTACGACGGCGCACTCGTGCGTTCAACAGCTGACTATTAATTGCAGCGAAGCGCAGACGGTGGATTAGATGCAATATGCGTATTTGTTCGCGGCGCACAAAGTTGCAGTTGCATTCGTACGTTGCTGTAGGTACATATACATCCCGAATATAATTATCGTTATCGTTATCGTGATGAGTTTGACAGTCACGTACGTGTTGACGCAACAGAAGAGAAACTCGCGTGAAAGTCTCTCTCGGTATGAATAAAAACACACACAGTCGATATGTAACGAATGTTATCTTAAACGGGAAAAAATAAAAATCCGCCGCATACAAAATCAATTACGGATAAAATCATAATAAAAATAAATACTGATTTTATATAAAAATATAAATTAAGTGCGATAAATTCAGTATTTATCAGTAATGAAATACAAATGTGATATTGGGCTCAGGTTTCCTTCTGTTCCATTATCAAGTTATGTGCATTCGTAAACGTCGTGGAAACTCGGACGAAATGAAATTTCAGGCGTCTCGATTCCGAGATGCAAATGCGAATATGCGAAAATACTTTGGGGATACCGTCAGATGCGTGCAAACGCAGAAGAAGCGAGTGCTGGAAATGGCGAATATCCTGATGATCCCTCGCGCTATTTTGCGTGACAGAAGGCATGTGACAGTTGTGCCCTTAAATCGTCAAATAACAAATCAATAAGGACGCTTTTATTTGTACATGCTTTTATCCCCGGCAAATATATCGATAAAAGATATACACTTGAGAGATATTTCTCGCTTTTGCTCTTCATCCGTGTGCCTGCATATTTTTTGACGAATTTGTAATCGATATACTATTGCAGTTTAAGAGAGTCTTTTTCTATTTACATGTGTCGCAAATTTTCATTAAATTTTTCTTAAAGCATTTTTTTTATATAAAAAGAAAATTTCTCTTTGACATAAATTCTGTATTAAAAATATTGTTTTTTAATTCATAAATAAGCTATGTTTTTAAAATCGACTACAGCGAGTATAAGAAAAATTGCAAAAAAAAACAAAAAACAAAAAAAAAAAAACGATCCGCCCTCATCAATCGCAAAAATGTGATTTTGTTACAGGACAACGGCCGACCACATCCGGCTAAAATAACTCAAGAAAAAAATTCTGGTGTTTTCGTGGTCTGTTCTATGTTATCCTTTTTATTCTCCAAACTTTGCTCCATCAGATTTCCATCTGTTTAAATCACTCGAAAATTTATTAAATTGAGAAAAATGTTCATAATATTTCTGAAATAAATTTGTAAAAAAATTGTTTGCAACCTCTCCAAAATGTTTCGAAAAAGAAATGTATTACTGTTTAAATGGGAACAAGTTATACTTAATAATGGCGAATGTATAACAGATTGATTGTAAATATAATTTTATTTATTAAAATAGTTTTCTAAAAAGATTGTATGTAAAAATTCAGTTTGTTAAGAGTAAAACAGAACTCATTGAATATGAATGAAGCCAATAAAAAATAACGTTATTAAAAAACCGTGCTTGATAATAATCACTTATTAAAATCATTATTACATAAACCATTATTATTTCATGTAATCAATTTATATCTTTATCGATTAATAATTTTTACGTCTACATCATTCTATGATTTTTGAAATCTCTCGCTCGAAAAATGTTTTTTTTTTTCATCATTTTGCACATGCCATTATTTTCTCCTTTATTGCACGTTGACACAATCGAGCCGATACGCAATGCAGCTTGCGTGCAGATGCCTCCTCGAGCGCGCGCAAGACAGCATCTGCATTAAGAGAGTCCGTAGGATGGTCCTCGTAAGACCCTCGTCGATGCGGCCTGCGGTTCCTCTTTAATTAGAAAAAAAACCTCGCGAGCTCTCTTGGAGGAGCCGCTCCGGCGAGAGGTCGTCAACATCCACTTCCGAGTTGCCGAGTCGTGCCGCCGTTAGCCCTGAAATCTTCTTCTATATCCCTCTGTGTTCCATTCGAACCAACAAGCCCACTTCGAGAGCCCACACGCGAAAGACGGACAAGAGCTCGATCGAACATTGTGTTTCGAGCACGTGAAAGTTGTCATCGAGGGTGATCCTTGATCGAGGAACGTCCTGCCCGATCGACCCTTCTGTCAATTATCATAATTTCCATCAATGGATACCCGGGTACCAACTGTTTTGACACTTTTTTTTTATAGGTTGCTGTTTTAGAATTTTAGTTTCGATATCGATATATTTTTATCACTTAAAATTGTTTTGGACGTCCAAGGATTCATTGGCAGAAATTGCTCGTGAAAGAAATCTCACTTATTAAAAATTAAGGTCGTACCTATAAATCTATACATTTCTTTAAATTTACATGTTTTATCTTTAAATTTACACGTAACAACAACGTTTATATTCTTCTTCTGCAAGTGTCTTTCGTGGTTTTAAATTGGTTCCTTTTCCTCTGTATTCGAATCCATTTTTGCGATCTTACATTGTTTTCGCGAAGGAAAGATTTATAATCTTTCTCGAAAGATTTCTCCGAATATACAAAACTAAGAGTTTTGCTTTCCTTTCCCCTGTTTCCCCGACTGGTGGAAAAGCGAATCTCTTACTACGAAATATTGACTTTACTTCTCGATGTACGAGCACAACGCGTTACCTTCGAATAAGTGGATTAAAGGGATTTGAATAAGGCGATTAAAAAGTTTCGTCCGTGTAACGCGAATAAAATGCTACGGCGAGAGACGAGGAAAGCGGAGAAGAGCAGTTTATACACGTTAAAGTTTCCATCTCGGGGACACGAGGGACTTGTTAATCGCGAATATTAAATACAAAATTTAATTCAACATCTCTCCATTATCCTAGATATTTCTCAAGTAAAAGTGGAGTGCATTTCTCGTAGAAAAAAAAAATACATGTCACTATTTCAGCGCTACAATAAATATCTCCCCGAGATATTTTCGAGAAATTTTAATGTCCGACTCTTCGAGTATTTTACGGGTCCTTGCGTTCCTTCGACGACAAGCAAGGCTTTGTTCTTCGCCCATTCTTTCGAATGAGAAAAACAGAAGGAGAGCCATTTATCAATATGCGTTTGCCTTTATCGGCGAAATCGGAAAAAGGCGGTATTACTCACTGTGGAATCTGTTTCCCCGTATTGTCAGCACTCCGTGCATCCTCTGGAGAGTGTCTCGGGTTGCCTGCTCGTGCTTGTCACGTGCTCGGGCCTGCAGTGTCAATTCCATGTCGGCTGAGCAGCACACTTCGCCACCGCTTCTGACGCTGCCGCATACCTTCAGCTCTTTAGCTGCAAGAAGGAAATTTAGAGATTAGTGTAAAATATCCTCCCGAGACGAGCATGTCGAGACCACTCGACATATTCGGTGATAATGCGATGATATACAAGGTGAAAGATTTGAATTTAAGAGAGAAATATTTGGAAATCCGGGGGTGATAGGAAAAAATGTATATATCGGATGAACGTCATTTAAAAGTCAATCTAGGTTTTTAAAAGAAAATTTTTTTGCATAAATTATGATTCCTTCACTGAAAAATGCTATTGATTTCAAATAAATGTTTCTATTTCAATAGTACCGCTAACATCATTTGGTTGAAACTAATAATATTGACTTGCCGTAAAAAAATACTTATTTGATATAAGAAAAGAGATCCTTTTTCAAAACAGATAAATAATTATTTGTTTCAAATATGGTGATACTATTAAAATGCACATTTATTTGAAATCAATAGGTTTTTTTCAGTGTTACGATATTATTTAAGAATAGAATGACTCAAAATTGAATAGTTTACGAGATATTTTATACTTTGATTTTACATAAATTATGAAATATCTCGTAAAATATTTATTTTTCGATTTTACCTCAATATTTTTATGCATAAAATAATGAGAAATTAATTGGTATAAAGAACTTTTCGTTTCTAAGAAAACATATATATGTAGTTGCTAATTACAAATTACATACAGAAATATTTACCTGTTTAAGATTAAAATACATATAGATAAATAAAGAAATAAATAAAAGATTAAAATAAATATATGGTATGAAAAACATTATAAATAATATTATTTCTTAAAGATATGTAAAACTATCCATTTTCTATACTAATACGAAATTAAAAAAGTGACATTGTTAATATTAAAAGAAGAAGCATTTTGTGTGTATGCGAAACTTGTTTTTACATTCATCAATCATTAGTTTCTCTTAGTTTCACAATCATTAGTTGAAACGTTTTCAAAGTAACATAGTATATGTTACTTGAATAAGTTTGAAGAAGAAATGCTTGTATAACTGTGCAAGGCGCTGATCAAAAATTTATAAAAGCGATTCAGTTTTAAGTATCCAGGAAACAATAAGGGACATACAATGCTCCCGTTGAAAAAAAAATGAAAAACTTGTTTCTCCTTTCGCATAAAAGAGAGAAAACTCTTAAAGATTAGTTTCTTCTTCTTTCCTACTTAATAGCTTGAATACCTATTAATAGTTTCAATTCTTTAAAAATTGCTATTGCAAAAACAGAGAAGATAACTAATAAAATAATACTATGATCTTTAAATAATCTTTATAAATAGAAATTATATAAAAAAATTGCGACGTTAACTCGGTTTAATTGATCGTCTTAATGATAAATAGCATGAATAAATCCAGAGAGAGAGATTGAGAGAGAAGGCAACTAGAAAAGAATTAATAAAGCGTACAGAAACATTTATATAAAAATTGTCATTGTTCGAATTTGCGGATGAATGAGAAATTCTGTATACTATGTGAAAAAAAAAAAAATTCCACGAAATACAGAAAATATCTAATCAGCTTTTTTGGCCTTCTCTCTCTTTCTTTCTCCCCTTTTTTTCAATTTGGGTAATTACAGTTTTCGGAACAGTCGACACGAATAACGCGCGTTTTTGCAGCGAAATGATCCGAATGAAGGAGAGGGCATTACTCCTCGAGGGCACTCGAAAACGCCCTTGGCAAGGTAAATTCGGAGGCGTCGCTGTTTATTAAAGCGCGTGAATGCAGCTCTTCACACGCCTCGCAGCTCCGGTAAAATCCCTCGCAATATATCTCACGAGAAGTAATTCCGAGTTCATCGTCGCTTTGTAATCCTCTTAGATGAAGGATACCGATGACTCGAAAAAAAATCCCGAATTATTGCGCACACGCGAGAATAATTGAATAATAATATGGCATTAAATCGCGTTTAATTATCGATGCATCATAAAAATATTACGGCAATAAAATATAAATAATAATTTATCTATTTTAAAATTAATTAATGAAAGGCTCGTATAAATTAACAAAATTTAAAAAAAAAAGGTAAATATTGTAGGCCAACTAAACGAGCAATTAAATAAGATCTAAAGATTTATTAATAATTCAATAATTAAATTCTCATTCCGTTAGAGAGAAACAATATACATTTCTATTTTATTTATTTACTTAACGAGTAAGAAAACCCTTTAGTATTTATATATAAAACAAATAATAATAAAATTACGTACGCAGTAAAAAAAAAAATAAATAAAAAAGATAATACACTGTATAAATAATGATAATGTATAAATAATTGAGATATAAATAATGAACGATGAGCACAATATCGACGTAATTTTCTAGAACACCTCGGTTCGCGGCCTTTAATGAACGACAACAATCGGCGGTCTCGTCATCGTCGTCGCAGCTGATCGGATCGCTGGGAATCGTGTTTCGAGACGCGCGTAATTGACTTAAAGCTCCGCAGAGTGAGACTGAACTCTCCGGTGAGATGTTGCGCACACGCCATACAGATTATTCCTCGTCGTCTGCGATTTTCCCATGTGCGGATAAACTGACAAGACGCAGGAGTACTCCTTATGGGATTTTGGCTCGACTTTCCACGAGAACGTTTCGCCTTGATCAAGTTCACAATTCATTATAGAACAGCAAATATATAGGATAATTATTTTTTTAATTATTTAAATAAATTGGAATTACATTATTATATATTTTATTAATTTTTGGGGAATAAATCTAAAATAATTTATTAATGTTTGGGGAATAAATCTATGAATGAATGAATTAAATGTAATTTAAGGCATTTAATTGCCTGTAATATTTTTCGTGCGAGATTTTATCTTGAACGACAGAAAAGCAATACGAGACACAACCGCGGGAATCCCGATCGAGTTACTCCGTTGCTGGATCAAAATTGGATTACTTTTCTCGTTAACTCTTCGCATAGATGGAAAGACGGCTCGAGGAAAGAGAAGGGAAGAGAGAAAAGAACGACACGAGCAATCCCGCGGAAATGAATCGGGATTACTTTTACAACGTGTCTCAAAGTTCCCAATGAGGGTTTGTGTCGGGGACGCGAAGAGAAACAGAGACGGAGAATGGGAAGACCGCGGGTATAAAATTAGCTTAGACCGTGCGGTATTGGCGGATAAGCGATGTAGCTATAAAGACTGATAAAAGCGATCGAGGGTAACGGCCGGCGTCGAGTTCCGGCGAAATCGTCTGGCGGATCGATAGGGTACGCGGTTTGTGTTCGGAACGATATACTGAAAAGACCGACGATGTTGGGGGCGAAGAGGCAGGGAACGATTTACGACGTTACTCAAGCTCTTCTTGATTTTTTTTCTTTATTGCAGCGAGATGCTACGTGCGTGATTTCGTCAATATTCTCTGAATAAATATCAAATTTATATTAAGAGAACAAAATTGGAAGTGTAAATTTAGTTTTTTAAATTGCAAGTGCTCCAACAATAAGACTCTGTCGTATCTGGCTAGCATTTGTGAAAAAATCGTGATGATTTATTTTGATGAAAAAGTAGAACTTTTTAAAGATAAAAATGGGAATCGAGTCCGATATCAAATTAATTGTATTTTATATTCGAATTTATTTTTGAAAATTGCAAGTGCTCCAACAATAACTCTGTCGTATCTGGCTATCATTTGTGAGGAAATCGTGATAATTCATTTTGATGAAAAAAGTAGAACTTTTTAAAGATAAGGGAATCGAGTCCGATATCAAATTAATTGTATTTTATATTCGAATTTATTATTGAAAATTGCAAGTGCTCCAACAATAACTCTGTCGTATCTGGCTATCATTTGTGTGGAAATCGTGATAATTCATTTTGATGAAAAAAGTAGAACTTTTTAAAGATAAGGGAATCGAGTCCGATATCAAATTAATTGTATTTTATATTCGAATTGTAATTTATTAAATTTGTGTACTATTTTTGAGATCGACATTTTTTTAAAGGATTTTTGTTTTAAATTCTTGCTATATGTGTCGATAATTAAATACACAATTTTTACAAATTAAAATTAATATTTTTTAGCCTTCAAAAAATTAAGGAGGTCTACGATATTAGGAATATAATTTGCTTAATACCGGAAATTAAGTGTAAAAGATAATACAAATAAAAGAATGAAAAAATGAGATGAATTACCAAAAAAGCATTGTTCATTTATTGCAATTAGAAGAAGGTACGGTAAATCTCGTGATTTATTCAATTTTCATTTACTAAAAGGATCTTGTCTAAATATAATAAAAAAAAAAGTTCGACATTAGGCGTATATTTCCCTTATACGCAACTTGCTTGAACGTTTCTGAGACTTCCGAATCCTGGAAACGCGTTTTCCATTCCATTCGCGAATGACCTGGTACCAAGGAGGAATCCAATATCCTTAATATCCCTCAATATCCTTAATTTCAGGGATCACGACATCGGCGAATAAAGAGACTACGAGAGTCAACAGGGGAACTTTTCGCGGCTTTCACACGCGTGCGATTAAGAGGCCTCGCAATATACAGACGCGATAAATCTCTCGACGCGTCGTCGTTGTGTCGCAAAGAAAGAGAGAGAGAGAGAGAGAGGAGTGCGTTAAAAGGGCGCTAAGGACAGGGTAGCGAGAAGAGGGTGACGGCTGGAGTTCGAAGGCTGTTAAAAGCGACCCCGAGAGAAGCTCGCGTGAAAGCTCCGAGGCAAGGAGGCCGTTTGTTAGCGGCGTCGAGACGTCGGGATTACTGCGCGTCGCGACGTCGCCTTCGAGACGAGCGATTCGATTCGCAAATCGCCGCGCGATCGCGTCCCCTTCGCTTGGAAATATTTCCTAATGGCATTTTATACCGGTATATCGTCTCTATTATTCGCACACGTCCGATTAGATAACTATATCTCATTTATAAATTATAATTATAAATATATATATATATATATATATAATATATACAATAATATATAATATATTATAATATATAATATATAAAGCAATAATATATATTATATATATATATATATAT